CCGTCGGTGCGTCCCACCACCCCCATCCTCCGCCCGCCATCGCTCACACCTCCCCAGATCCCAGCGCCCCCCGGCCGTCCGAAGGCTGCCTCTCGAACTCCTCGTCGAGATCTTCCTCTTCACAAAAGCCCTACACGGCCCCGACCCCGCCCTGCTCGATCCACCCCCATGCACCTACCTCTCGCACGTCTGCCGCAAATGGCGCGCAGCCGCCCTCCTGTGCCAACAGCTCTGGTCCTGCGTCCTCCGCCCGCACCTGAACTGGACGCGGACCTGCCTCAGACGCTGCCACAATCGGCCCGTCGAGATCGTGATCAACCCAAAGACCGGCTTTCACCCGCGCGACAAGACCTACCACACCATTTTGGATGCGTACCTGCGCGCTCGCGCCATCACGATTGACTTTCGGGAGGACCGAGCGGGCGCTTATGCGTCGGTCCTAGCCGTTGCTATTGGATTGCTAGGCGCAGAATGCGTACCTCTGCCCGAGTTGGAAGAGCTCCAGATCCATCTCCCGACCAGCGACGGGCGCGCGCATCATGTTCTGAGTGGAGGGATCGTAGGCCGCGAGGTCGTCGGCCGCAGGATTGTGCCCCGCCGTCTGAGGACGATCGTGATGTCGTGCTGCGCGCTGCGCTCGCCTCTGCACACACTGTCGCCCGTGCTTCGTACGCTTATACTGGAGAACGTCGTACCGTGGGGCGGGCCCGCCGGACTGGTGCATGCGCTCGGCGCGTTGGCGGAGCTGGAAGTGTTCGAGTATCGGTGGACAAGAGATCATTTCGACGAGACCATCACGTATGCCTGCGTCCTCTGCTCTTCCCCGACGTCCGTTCGCTTGCCGAGTCTGAAGCGCTTCGTACTGAGCGGGTTCCTCGCGGAGGACGTGTGCATCTTCAGCGCGCTGCGGCTGCCGCCTGCGGCGGAGATCGTTGTCGGGTCTAAGAGCAGTCATACGTGGGATGTGGAGGAGAGCGCGTGGGAGGAGGAGGCGCCGGGTTGTGTTTTGGGGGGTTTTGCGGGTGTATTGGCGGCGGCGCTTGCGCGGCATTTGGAGGATGTGGTTCAACATGGGATGGTCATCAAAGATGCGTTCGTTACGGGACATGGTCTTCAGCTCGTTCTTGGTCTCGACCGCGACAGTGAGGGTGAAAACGCATACAAGGCAGCTCCTAGTCTAAGCTCGAGTTCATCCGAGGCACCCTCTGACTCGGATGGCACTGGTACTCGCATCACATTCGACATCCCTCCATTCAACACCCCCGAGCGCCGCGACATCATCCTCAAAGCCCTCATCTCATCCTGTCTCTCTCAATACAACATTCACTCCATAACCTACACCAGATCCCTCTCGTCACCCTCCATCTCAACCGACCTCGAACGCCGCGCACCCTGCCTCCAAGCTCTGCCTCTAACCCTCCTCTGATTCCGAAGACGACGTACTCGAGGCTCGCATTCACCTCCCTCGTGCGAAAGACCCAACCACAGTCCTCGGATCTTCAACTCTTGAACGTTCTGTGCGATCTGAGTAGGCCGGCGGAGACGTTGCGGGAGTTGTATGGGGCGATCCGGGGTGGTGATAAGGGTGTGTGGGGGAGGGTAAGGCTTGGATGGGTGCCGGGTAGTGGGGAGAGGGATGTGGGGGGTTTGAGTTTTGAGGTTTGTTAGGTTCTTATGCAGGGGGATTTGGAGTTCGAGTAGGTTGAGGAGGCTCCGGGACGCTTGATACACGCAGAGGGGCCTCGTAAACAACGCATCCGACGTGCATTGTCTCATAATCATACTGTACATTGCAGAACGAGATACATGATTTACATCGAACAGTCCAAAAACGCAGAATGAAGGGCTCGTCCGCCGACACGCGCGACATTCAAGAACCCATGTGACGCCAGCCCGTAAGCTGACGCACACCGGGAACACCGGGGAGCGGTACGCGAGCGGCAGGCGGCGCGAAGGCGTCCTTGAACGGACCCGACGCGATGGATCCGAGGCCTCACGGCCCCGGAGAGCAAGCTCCTCGCACGACGTATTCGTCGAACGAGCCCGGAGTACCCTGGGCGACAGAGGCCGGTGCTCTTGCACTCGGCCGCCCGACAGGTACGATGTCTTGAGGCTGAGATTGAGGGAGAGAGCCCTCCCTAGGTCTTGAGGCACGAGTCGAGAGAGGAAAGAGATGAGATGAGATTGAGAGACGAGAGAGATGAGAGACGAGAGAGATGAAAGACGAGAGACGAGAGGAGAGAGACGAGAGGAGAGAGGAGAGAGGAAGAAAGAGAAAAGAGAAAAGGAAAAGAGATAGAGTTGGTAGGTTGTGTAGTTGGTGGGGAGAGCGAACGCGCGACGCGCGACTACATACATACGAACGTAACCCTAACGTAGGGGTAGTAGCCGAATGGGCGCGACAGCATAGTAAGTACGTAACTACTATGTACAGTAGATACCGGTTACAACCCAGGTAAACCCGAAGAAGTGCGATGCTACAGGCGTATAATGATACCGCCGGCGTCGACATTGATGCTGCACAACACGCACCGTTTACTTAGACAACAATGCGCCCACCACCGCTTGAGCTCTTGGTAGACTCAGCGTCATCAGGCACGGGTTCATGTGCGACAGTAGTAGTAGTAGTAGTAGTAGTAGTTGACCACCAATAGGTCCCGTGCAAGAGACTGGCTGGATCGGGGCCGCACGTGGAGTCGGCCACGTGCTTACCCTGCCTACGTTCCAAATCTGGCGACGATCTCTCCGCGTTTAAGAAGTTCAATCGCCGGAAGGTAGTAGACGCATATCTAGATCATCTTATTCCTCAACAACTTCACTCCCCCTATTTACACGTCTAGTGTATAACGTGGGCCACTCGAGCGCATAGGAGTCGTAGATATTGAAAACTGTCTTCGTGAAAGCACCTAAAAGCACCGCAACCTCCGCCGTAGAGATAAGGGCCACGAGCACCGTCTCGGCATCTAGCGAGGGCAAGCTGTTGACGAAGTCTGGACAGGCAACGCGCACTTGTTCTGCGAATGCCTTCCGTGCGTCTATGAGCTCCTGTACGCCCTCGCAGACGAGCAGCGCGTGCTCCGGGGACTCGACTGCTAGGCCGCATAGTCGGCACAGTCGGTCCTCCCTGGCGACCTTCAGTCTCTCGATCCCGTTGCGCGTCGACGACCAGCGGAACTGCTCCAGGGCGAATGGGTGATCGCTGACGAGCAGTTTCGTGAGCGCAATACGCTCGTCGTCGTCCGTAATGCTAATGAGGTAGTGCCTCAGTTGCAAGACAGGCTTCGTAGGGCGACCCCGTTTCTGCGGCTCTGTGCGGTCCCGCAGTAGGTAGAGACGCGGGTATGTCATGATCGCGTCTTGCAGCTCCGCATGCAGGGAAGCGTCCACCGACCGTATGAGGTCATCTGCGGTAGCGGGGTTCCACAGCGTGCGGGTGTTCTTCGGCAGCTCGACAGGGTGAGGGAGGCGCAGGAGGGCGTGGCGCAGGTCCCCCAGCCAGCCTGGGATGCCGGCATCGAACATCTGTATCGCCTCCTGCATGGCCAGTCGCACGTAGCGTCCTGCGGGCTGCGTGACGACGTAGCGCAGAAAGCGAAGCGCAAGTTTCAGGCGCCTGTACCGGATCGGCACCATCCCGAGTTCCGTGTAGAGCGGGATGATGAGCGACCGCTTTCGTAGTCCGAGGACCCGCCTTGCGAAGGCCTGTTGAATCTTCTCGAGCGCATCTATCTTCGAACCAATGTCTGGCACGACGTCCGCCGCCAGGATCTGGTAGCAATCGACCCGCGCGTCGTAGAGCGTTTTAGCGTCGACCGGTCGTAGGCGACCTACAACCGATCTAGCACCGGTGATCGCGAGTGCCGCCCAGTTGGCCCGAGCGGCGGCTCGTTCGTAGACGAGGTCGAAGAAGTCCTTCACCGTTGTGCAGCATGGGATGCCGATGTAGTCTGCCTCGGTGACGTACTGGATGGGGATACCCTGGAGGTGGAACGTCGTTGGGTGCTTGGGGATCGGGCCGACGCACAGCATCTTCGTCTTGATGGCGTTCGTTACGACCTGGCTGCGCGAGCTGTATCTGCCGACATAAGACAGCAGTGCTTGCATGCCCCGATCCCCGAGCTTCATCCCTACCATGTCGTCTGCATGGGTGAGAATCGGCATCCGGACGCCCGCGATGATTGGGTCCTGTTCGTCCTCCGGCGGGCAGAAGTCTGAGAGAAAGAGATTCCAGAGCGTAGGGGATGAGGGGTCGCCGATGAGGACGCCGATGTCTGAGCTGAACTCTTCCGAGTAAGCGCCCTCTAGCTGTACGACGTAGGCCATGTCCTTATAGAGGCGCCGCAGCCAATCTACAACCGGCCCGACACAGCCCATGCGCTGTAGCTTCACGAAGAGGATATCGCGGTCTGTGGACGGGAAGGCGTTACTTATGTCTATGAACGCGACGTAGACCGGTTGTTTCGAGGGTCGGTACTTCTCCAGGATCGTTCGCATTATGAAGACGTTGTTGTTCGTGCGGAACCCGTGCCGGAAGCCGTTCTGCGCTGGCGGGAGGATGTTATTGGCTTCCGCCCACGCATATAGGCGCTTGTGTATGAGCAGGGTCATGACCTTTAGTACGACGCACTCCAGCCCAATCGTGCGGTAGCTGTTGGGATCGTGCTCCGGCAGACCTTTCTTCATGATACCGACGATGACGGTCTTCAGCCACACGGAGGGCGCATCTTGGCGGGCGACACATTCGTTCAGGAGGGCTGCGAGTGCTTCATTGTCCATGTCCATGAAGAGGGACTTCCGTACCCCGTCGAAGCCGGGCGCACCCGAGTTCGCACCATCCTTAATATCCGCTTTAACCGACGCAATGTCCTCTGCTGTGAAGGGCCTCGTGAATGTATCGTCCGGAGCAATAAGCGGTGTGACGGCGGCGAGGTTCTGTGCCTCAGCGTGCGCGGCGACCTGTGCGAACCGGTTGAACGTTGGGTGCGGGACGCTGGGCTTGTTCATGCGTTTCTTGAACGTAGCCAGCAACCCCGTGATAGAGACCTTCGGTGCTCTCCGCCGCGGATCCAGTAGCCGTTTGTACGTGCTCCAAAACCTCTTCGGCGACACACGGGAGCTGATGAGAGCGGCCAGCTTTGACTTCTTGGTCCATTGTGTACGCCCTCGACCGCGATGCGCGCCGCCGGCCGGCTTCCACTTCGGCCTCTTCCCAGGCTTTGCCCTCACCTCCGGGTTTGTCACCGGTCGGAGTGAGGTGGTCACCTTGGGTCCCTCGAGAGGCGGACCGTGCACCACCGTGTCATCCGTCTGCGGAGGTAGTAGGCGCACGTAGTCCGGGATGGGAGGGAGTTCGGCGCCTGTGTTCGCCAAGCCATCCGACGCATTGACAGTGCTTCCGAGTTCACCGTGCCATCGTGAGGCCGATGTGTAGAACCCAGTAGCATGACCGCATGAGGGAGGATGAAGCCTTTCCGCTGTTTGAGCTATAGCTCTTCGTAAAGTCGTTCATAGATGAGGATCCGCGGCAGCGTAACACCTGTCCGTAAGCAGGAGCCACGCCGGAGAGCTCGTAGAACGCTAAGTTACGCGAGCGGGTCGTGGTACAAAGGTGGCATGCTTTGGGGCCATCCGAGCGGCACTCTGCCCGTAAGGGCGCTCCGGAGGAGCGAGGCGCGCGCTCGCGAGCGTGAGTGTTGTATGATGGAATAGTGTGGCGGAGCGGGTGCCACGAACGACCGTTCGCGAGAGAGGGAAGTCTGCGTCACGAGTGACGGTCGCAAGAGACGAGGCAAGGAGAGAGGCTGAGGGAAAGGGGAACGAGGAGAAACGATATGCGATTGGTGTCGTATAGGCTACCTAAGTATGGTCGGGACAAACGCGCGACGCGTAACCACATACGAACTTGACCTTAAAGTAGGGGTAGTCACCTGAAGGGCATCACAGTATCCTACGTACGTATCTTACTATGCACAGTAGATACTGGTTACACGCAGTACGACAGTACGGAATCGTCTCATTGCAGTACCGTCTATAATATTGGATCGCACCAAGCTCCCAGTGCCGGCAAAGTCATCTCCGCCCTTCGAAGCGCCCTTGCTTCCGCGTCATACACGAACACTTCACGAGCCCGCGGGTGCCAGAACAGCCTCGCACGCTTGGATAATGATGCATCCGCGTCTTGCAGCGCTTTTGAGAGTTCGTGCAGGACTGCCGGATGTTCTGGCAAGTCGTCGATAGTGATCTCGATGGATACGAGGTGACGAAAAGCGCGGGCGAGCGGTAGATCGGGGAGGATAGCAATGAGCGCTCGCATGTCGCTGAGCTGGCTCAAGACGAGCGAGATTGTGGCCCGTGTGATCACGGAGAGAAGTGCGATGTCGAAGGTGGCCAGGTTCCCGTCGAAGCGCAGTATATGGGGCCGGCAGTCTGCGCTAGTGACCCCCCGTACGAGCATGGAAAACCGATCGGCGGCATTGTCCATCAACTTCATATCCTGTGGCAGGCACACATCCAGCGAGAGGGGTGGCCCGCTTTTGAGACGTCCTTGCACACGTTGTTGAAGATACTGGAGTTTCCCCAACTCGGGTGCTCTGGTAACATATAGGTATCGGACGTTTACACCACGACCATCGGCGTGGAAGGATATGTCAAGGCCGACTGTCATGCAGGAGAGAGGGGTCTCGTAATATCTTTCACGGAATGCATACATGAGCATGATCAGGCTATCGCCTGCATGCTCGAGGAGCCCGAGATGGGTTGTGTCGATGGCACGTTCATGTGAGGCGCGAGGCGCGATGGAAGCGTTCATCCTGGGAGAATGGCGCAGTACGGTGTAAATCATGACATCCTCGCGCCAGAAGCTTCGAAGGTTGACATGCCGAAGGTACTTGAGGGTGACCTCAGGAAGGGAGTCGGAAGGGGGAGAATAAACCATGTCCGTGTGCCGATTTTGATCGTATGAGTACTCCAGAGTTTCCAAGAGAGGTACAGCTTGCAAAAAGGCAACCAATTCATCCACGTCGTGCCAAAGAACGCTATTGTGGAGTCGAAGCTCTCGGAGATGTGTCGAGGAAAACTCTCGTGGCATTGTCGTGGTACAACCAGACAAGTGCGCTACAGCGAGCCTCCGAGGAGAGTGCTGCAACAGTCCGTCGATGTTGAAGGTGTCACCGGTTTCTGACCCGTACTCGATCTCGAGCTCGCGTGCAGGGAAAGGGTCAATACGACTCAGAAGCGCTTTAAGACCGAATATATGGTTCCAGAACGTCAACGCCCCCGCGAGGTCGAGAGGCGGTCCGCGCGTAACGTCCAATCTGACTCTGATTGCATCGGCTCGTTGGACAACGGTGAACGCCAGGTCCACCGCCTCGCGATACGTCTCTGAGTCGTCGTCGACCTGTGTATAGCGCGACCCGATGAAGAGATTGAGGGGATGCGTGGGGCAACGAGCGAGGCAGAACTGTGTGGCCTCGTATGTTGGACGGACAACGTCCGACCAGAGCGTCTGGCACCGTAAGGCAACCTCCCTCCATCGTCGGCACACGTGAGACAGATATGCGCAATTGGGCATCACGGTGGCTCCATTATCTGTTACGTATAGTGCATGCGTCCATAGGAAGACCTGATCAAGTATCTCGACGGGTAGGCGGCTAGTGTGATCAAACAAGTCTGACGAGGTGGCCGCCTCTTGAAGCGCGTCGGGCTGTGTATCTTCGACGCGTAAAGATTTTGACCAGTTATCATCAGACTGATGGACGTACTTGAATACGTGTCTACCATTGTTTGCAGGAGGATGACGACAGCCTCTGATGGTGGTAAGAGCTGAACGCGTCATCGGCAGGCTCTCCCCGGATGGCGATGTGACAGTCGCGCTAGGATGTGACCCTACGCGTTGTCGTAGGTAGTTGGCGACCCATTGCCTTGCTCCCGACGACCATCACACCTGGAGGTTATAGTACCACGGTTTCGTTTCTGCCTGTCACCATCGGCTTCCTCCCAGATCTAGCTTCGCGTGACTCTGCCACGTAGGAGCCCTACGAGCTCGAGCTATCCAGTCACCGGTGCACCTCAATTCGTCCTGACGACAATGGCTGTCCAGTTGTCTGCTCTCACTATATGCAAACTGAGATACGAATCGCAAACTTGAACTCCTGTCGGGGACAACGCGACATGGTGAGTGATACCTTCATCAAGTGCATGGCTCGTTTACTGACATCGCGTTCGTCGCTACCTGTAGCACGCGCCTACACGTCTCTACCGTAGCTCGAAGGATATACGACGTCCTATATGAGGTCAACCGACTTCCCCTATCCGCGACGCTCACGTCTCTCAAATATCCCATCTCCATGGCCGCAGTAGACCCGACATACCCTCTCTACCCCATTGCCTCAATCGTATCCGCAACACTACTGCTCCTGGTTCTTCTGACGAGTCTTGTCCGGAGAAGCTGGAATCTCGGCGTCGCTTCACTCTGCTTCTGGTTCTTCTTCGAGAACCTCACCGCGGGTGTCAACGCCGTGATATGGGCCAATAACGCGGACGTCAAGTTCTACGTGTATTGCGATATTGGTACGTTGCCTTCAGACCGGTATCCGCCTCGAATGGTTTCGTTGAAGTGCAATGCTATAGTCTCGCGTGTACAAGCCATCACATCCGTTGTGAAGCCCATGGCAACCCTCATCATCACTCGACGGCTCTACTTGATCATCAATCGGCGCGCTGTAGACTTGATTGACGACGGAGCGGTATGGTGCATTCTACACTCGCGACCGATCCTCGATGCTAACGGCTCGTTTGCTACAGCGACGGAGGAACACTGCGCTGGAGTGGACTCTGAGCTTGGCGGTTCCTCTCATCGTTGCGGGGCCTCTATGTAAGTTTGATCGCTCTCTTCGCTCTAGACGATTGCGCTCAACATGTACCTAGACTACATCGTTCAGTCAGATCGCTTCGAAGTCGACGAAGGCTTCGGATGCGCAAACACTCAAGATGGATCGATCTTGGACGTCTTGCTGATCTGGTCATGGAACGTAACCGTTCCGCTCTACTCCATCGTTGTCTACTACTGTAAGTCATCTCCTTGACGTGAACACCTGGAGATCCCAACTGAAACTTGTCCGTGCAGCTAGAGTGGCGTTGAGCTTGTACCGGCACAGCCGAGTAGTCGATCGTTTCCTGCGCGACAACGGCTCGCTCTCACGCAACACCTACCTCCGACTGTTCGCGTTGGCAAGCTTCGACATCCTCATCACGCTGCCCGTTGGCATCGCATCTATAGTGCACTTTGTGCAGAGCTCCATGGCGCAAGGGTCTGTCCCATTCTACTTCGGCTGGACGTACGACCATACGGATTGGGAACCGGAGAGCGTAACGTACGCAGAGCTGGAAGCACTCGGGACCTCCACTATAGTGCAGTCGTACTTCACTCGATGGACGGCTCCTGTGCTTGCCTTCGTCATCTTCGGGCTCTTCGGCACTACGACTGAAGCTCGCGCAACGTACTGGCGCATTCTTGGCAAGGCAGGAGGCTGGGCCAGATGGGTACCCGCCTTGCGTGAGCGAACAACCGTAGCGTCATCGGCCGATACACTCAGATACGGTGGATGGTCTGACAATACGACCCGTAGTTCCGATGAAGGGTATGACCTTGCTCTGTTTGGGGCCGCATCTGACAAGTAACTGACATTCATGCACAGATCACGTACGAGCATTATCCGCGCAGGGGCACCGGTGCCCAAGTTTGTAGACGCGAATAGTAGTGATGAGGGGAGAAGCAGGTCCTATACCCATATCACGGGATCGTTATGCGAAGCCACCTCGAAGGCTGAATGTGCCGGATGGTCAACATGCGCCAGTGACTGTGCCGCTGAAGACGTACCTTCCATGGTCCTGCGCGTTGCATACATAGACGATACAGGTGGCCTTGGCAAAGATATCTGCACGGCGTCTTGAGAGACCATTACCACCGTTGACTTCACCATGACATTGGAGATGTTGGAGAATATTTCAGACAGAGAGATGTTCGTCGCGACGAATGTTCATTAGAAGCGTATTATCCTCAGTAAAATACAAAGCAAGGAGGAAAGTTGCAACGGAGCAATCGTGCAGAAGGAAGAGATCATAGAGTACAACGATTCGCGTGACAATCGTACAAGCAAAGTCCGGGAACGAGCCGGTGAAAGGGGTATGCAAGGAGTCATGAAAGTCCGTGTCATCAGAGTCGTAGGTGAAGTGCTCAGCCGTGGCGACCGAGGCCGCGAGCGCTCTTCGAGACGTGCTTTGCCTCCTCGGACTTGATCTTCGCGCGGCGGGCCCTGGAGAAGTTGTCAGTATCGCACCGATATACGGACGTGTTAGATATACGTACTCCTCAACGGCCTCACGCTCAAGCATGCGAACATGGTCGCGCGCCTCGCGCACAGCACCGCGTGCCGCGGCAAGTGCCTGGTCGGCAGCGCGCTCAGCGGCCTCGGCCTGGAAGACCTTGTCGCGGGCGCCAGTGATACTGTGGTCCTGGGTGAAAGCGCCAGAGCGGGTGCTACCGCCGTAGCTCATGTCGTCGCTCGAGCGGCGATTGCGGCTGAAGAGACCGCCGCCGCCGCTGCGGGTCGACTGCTGGTCGGCGGGGTGCATAGCGGGGTCGTCATAGGGAGCCTGGCGAGGCTGCTCGGCGGAGCGACGCGAGAAGATGCTACCCTTGCGGTTGGGTTGCGAATCGTAGTTGTCGTACTGCTGCGGTGCCTGCTGGGGCGGAGGCGAGGGCGGGCTCTTGTTCTTGTTGGAACCGAAGAGAGGCATGGTCGTTAGAGTACGGTGAAGGTGAAGAGAAGAAGAGTAGGCGCGTTGATGGGTGGGCGAGTTAGTGAGGAGAGGCTAGGATACGGGGGCGCGGGTTTATGTACAGAGACGCCACTCCGCTGACGACATCTGCGACCCCTTGGAGACTTGGAGCCAGGAGCGTTCCGACAGCTATACAAACGCCGCGTATCCCGGAAACAGCTCAACCAGGGACATCGTCCAGGGCAAATGTGGGGCACAATAGGCGGTCGTGTGTGAGGCGCAATGTGCCAGGCGTCATGCTGGAGCTGAACTTGATAACCTCGACGCCTCGAGGTAAAGTAATCGGGGACTTGTCGACCTTGCATGCATAATAGACAAGGTCTATATGACGCCTTGCTCAAGCGGTGATACGGTGTGAAGCATACAAGAAGCCAGCAGAACAATCATGGAAGGGAACGCCGGCAAGAAGACAAGACGAAGAACTGTCAGAATATTCGGACCCACAGACGCGTGCGACTGTGGCCGCGCAGCCGATGACGAAGGCGGAAATAGTCAGACCACAGATACGCCTTGGAGCGCCTCCTGAGTATACCTCTTTCCGAATAGAGATCGCAAGCTACAAGGAGGCCCTTCATGCGCACGTCCCCGGCCCTTGCCTTCTTCGTCTTCGTTAAAGGGAAGGACCAGATAGTGAAGCCCAGAGCCGTAAAAAGACGCGTGGGGACGGTACACGTGGCGCCGACGACCAAACGCATCGAGGCTTGGTATATAAGCACAACTCTCTCACCAACCACGACCACGGTCTGCCCGCCCGTCGTCGCCGGCGCACAGAGCACTCGTACAGGTTGTCAGCGACACCATCGGAATCCAAGGAATAGTTTACGAGCAAGTACGGACCAAGCACGATGTCGAACAAAATTGTGGTAAGCCACCGAGCACGGCCGCCCCGTAATGAGGCGCTCGTTGACATGGCTATCATTTCTTGAGCCCGCGGTGTACCGGAGCGTGATCGACGATGTCATCGCGAACATTAAACCCGACTTTGACGAGTACGGCGTTAGCGAGGACGTCCTCGCTGAACTGCAGAGTGTATGTCTTCCCACGAGACGATTCCTAGTTTTCCCGGCTCACCATGCTTTCATATATTCTTGCTCCTGAACGACATCTTCGTATACGCTTTTGCTCTCTCTATCGTGCTCTGCCTGCAACAGAAATGGGAGAAGAAAGTGATGGAGTCGCGTGTCGCCGACTTCGATCCGCCAGCTCACCATCATCCGGCACCCGCTTACACAGCACCGCCGGCCCCTACACATCCTTCGCTGCACAATTACAGCCACTACGCGTTCCCACCTCCGACAGGAATTCCTGGCGTCAAGTCTGAAACAACGGAATATCCGTATGGTTACGGTCTGCCCCCTCCACGCCCGCCACCCAACTACACCGCAAACAGCGGCAGTAGCGGCGGTCGGATCCCTCAACTCGATGGGCCTTCTGGCTCGTATGTTGACAAGGGGAAAGCCGCACAACGCTTGCGAGGTGGCGCCGGGGATATCCCGCAACTTGACGGGAGCTCTTCGGGTTCATCAGCTTCGCCACCTCCGCCTACGCTTCATAGCGCGCATCCTTCTCTGGCGTCCTCTGCACCAGCACCGAGCAACGGCGCTGCGGATGATGAGGCGATCAACAGCGACCTGGACGACAGTGATACGGATGGCAACGACGATGAGGACGATGGCGGTGTAACTGGCGATATAATGTTCTGTACGTACGACAAGGTGGCGCGTGTAAAGAACAAGTGGAAGTGTGTTCTTAAGGACGGCATGGTCTCCATCGACGGCCGCGACTACCTGTTCAGCAAATGCAACGGGTACGTATCTTTTCTATATCAGCTTTGGTTCATCCACTGATAACTATCCATCTACAGGGAGTTCGAGTGGTAGAGAATATAACATTCATTCTCCACGCCACGATTAGCGTCCGAACATGGATCCTTCACGCTCGTCTGAACCCTCCTTCCTGTATATCTGCCTCGCTCTCCAACCTCGCATATGCTAAACACCATCTCCTCTCGCATCCCGTCTCTTCTTCATCTCTCCTCTACACGCATCCCGTCATCTTCACGCCCTACAACATACGTCGCATTCCTCGGACTCTGCTCAGACATAAAGTTTACGACCGCCGCGCTTATGCGCTTCCGAATCCCTGTCCCTATCATCATTATTATTCCCAATACCACGTCGGCTTTTTGACGCTCGTCATGAGTGTGGATGTGGTGAACGTACTGTAGATGCAACGCCAGTCGTTGTTGAGTCGTTCAATCATAAATATTGGGTGTCCCGCATCAGGGTGTACGCCTAGACGCGCTTGAAGAGCTCAACGGAGTGCATTGCGCGGTTTCACTACCCAGAGGGAAAGATGCTCCTGCGCTGGTTCAAGTAGAACGCATTGCAGCAGATTGGGGACGGAGAGATGGTGTGGTTGTGGCATATATACAGAGCAATCGCCAGAACGGCGGATAGCAAGGGGCAGAGCATGACAACGCTATACAAGCGGGACGACATGTAAAGGTAGCAAATGCAGGCGTGAGGGTATCGCAAGGGAGGATGATAGCATGGTTGTGCCAGGAGATAGGGAGCGTCCCTGAATCGAGCAGGTGAGAGTGCAGTTAGAGTCGCAAGAGGTAGAGAATGATAGTGAAGCTATACAAGGGAACGATATGCACAGATGGCAGCGGGCGTAAAGGTATCGCAAGGGCGGATGATGGGATCGTTGTACGAGGAGACAGAGAGTGTGGTTGGATCAAGAAGGCGGGAGTATGATGGTGGGTCGCGCAAGGGAAGGGGGGCGTGGGTAGGATGTGGTATCGCGGATGGTGCTGAGGTGGGGAATAGAGATATCTCGATGTGTTGAGAGAAGTCGTAGATACGATAGGGAATGAACGCGAGCAACATATAGGAAGTGACTGGTCAGACAACGCGTAGCATGATCGCGCGGACGGAGGTGCCCAGAAGCGCACATCCGGCGCGTCAGCCTGAGCCTGAGCGCCATTCATGGACCCGCTTAAGGGATGGTCCCAACTGCATCTCGTCATCGTCGTCCTCGCGACGACGCTTACCCAATGCGAAGTGAGCGCTGGCAGCGCTCTGTCCCATCTCGACATCGGGAGCAGTAGCATAGCTGAACGACTGAGCCGCGAGCGCCTGCATGCTACCCGGCGAGAAGGTGGCTCCCTGCGACTGCGATGCGTAGACGTTGTACGACGGTCCAGCCATGTTGATGCCAGCTTGCGCCATCGATGTATGGTAGGTCGGGTACTGCGCGGCAGCAGGAGCGGGTTTAAACGCGGCGCAACCACCGGAGGCGCACGAAGGCGACGATCCTAACGCGGGAGAGCCGGCCACCGACTCAGGCGTCAGGGGAGGAGTGGAGACGACGGTAGACGTAGGAGAGACGGATCGCGCGTAGGAAGAGGCCGCGGTAGAGGAGGAGGCATCGGACCATGAGCCTTCGCGCGCGCCGTTCTGCTGTGCTCGACGCTTGCACATCGAGCAATCGCACGAGGCTGGGGTGGAGGTGTTCATGGCGTCATGTTCGACTGAGGTATGGATGATTGGCAAGTCGACATGCGAGGCTACAGGTTCGGGGAGCGCGCGGCCTTTGCCTTTGTTCGTGCTGAAGGATGTGGAAGAGGACATGCTGTGGCCGGTGGTCAGCGAAGGCTCGCTAGCAAGCAAGGAGACGACCACCCACATGAGACTCAACGACAGAGACGCTAAAGAAGATGTGTATGGTGGTGGGACCGCGAGTCCTGGTCGTGGTTCACCGGAGAGAGCGAATCTTGGGCGGACACACAACAAGATATAGGCGCCAACCACACCGGCATTTTGCGGGTGGTTAACCACCTTCTTCGTACGGCGCGGCCCGAAGCGTGCGTGCAGCCCCGTCACGCAGATCCTGACGCGTATTTGGTAATGTCGCATCAGAGATACGAGCGCTGGTATCGATGGTCTCTCAGTGTCGTAGTCCGCTGCGACGAGACACCCTGAGCGCACTGGGAGAGTTTTCGAGTCAGCTTCTGGGAAAAGCGGCAGAATAAGTGTGTCGTACAGGCTTACCTGAGATCTCCCATAGCACAAGAGTTTTTGTTGCCGGCTATACGCGCAGAGAACCCGTATCTCGTGCACTGTACACGGAGGGTAATAGCTCGGTGGTTACTGACGGGACCGATAGATTCGTGTGGACAAATGTAGATCCCCCGTCTCACCGACCTCCTGCCGCACAGGCCGCGTTTGGACTTCGCGAAGGTTCTTGAGCCAGTAGGGCATCTCTGGTAGAGTGCATCACAGTATGGGGACTGAATATTTGAGAGAGAGTAGAGGCGTTCGGCGTTTCGCGGCGTGCCAGCGAATCATATAGGTCTATCGACTGAATCAAGAGCGCTCTCGTTTGAGTCTCCTAAGCATGGCATAGAGAGGTATCATGATTACAGTCGTAGCCTCCATACACTTTGAGGACTGAGCATGAGGGTGAGAGCCAAAGAGCCATACACATATTGCGCACGTCGCGTCTCGAGGCGCATCTTGCCTTTGACGCTCATCTTGCGCTATGCCGCTCGAGATTGGGAACCTTATGACGGTCTTCATACTCGTAACACTGCATATAGGACCTCAGGAGCATGACTGATGAGGGTCGCGCCAGCTATCGAAGCCAGAATATCCCTCACCCCAGCCACTGCCAACGACGGCGACGCCAGCATTGCACGACTCCAGGCCCGAGGGTTCTCGGTTGCTCTCTCAACACCCTTCCCACCCTTCAGATACACACTTCCGCAATTGCTTATAACCCAGCTCCTCAGTTTTGAACCTTACAACCCTGCCCAATTTCAGACTCAGAGCACACCGACCTTCCACATCGCTCTCCCTGTCCGCATCCTCGAGGCTTGCCACACTTGCGGCCTGACTGGGACACATACTCGGTATCTGATATTCGTGTATCCCCCCATACTTTATTTCTCTCTTCCTTGGTCTCCTGCCTTGCATGTACATATTCGTCACCAATCAGATAGAGCCGAGCAATTCAAAACAGTCGTACTGGCCCCCAAGCGTCGGGAGCCTTTCATCCCTCAAGCTTCTTGACAGCACAAGCCAGTCTCGGATTGGTAACTTCAGGGTAGAAATACAGGTTATGAACTAATCATGTACAATGTGGTCCGTGGGGCAAATGCAGGTTCTGAGAATATCTCCGGCGCTGTTGGCGCTTGGGCGTTGAACACGCTCACATCTCCGCGATCTTGCAACCCGGCAGGTGCTCGTTGATGCCCTCTGTAAGCTTATGAGCATTCGAAGTCTACTTCATACTGGACTTAAGAGCACATACTGCACGCGCCGCAAGCAGCGCCACTGTACACCTTCCCGCGGAGGGGTGGCACACGGGTACGGGTGTCGGGTTCTTCGATCGGGGCGGGTTGAGGAGACTGGGAGCGCCCGGGGATGGGGATGGGTTGGGAGCGTGGGGGGAGAGGAGGGAGAGGGGTAGTGGTGGGTGTATTCGGAGTGCCGGTGGTCGACATGGTCGACGATGAGGTCTGGCGGGGGCGAGGGGGAGCGGGAGAAGGACGGTGGTGTGTATAGTTGTCGAGAGGTGGTAAGTTGGTTTGAGAGTTGCATTGAGGATTGTATTGCTTTTATAGCACTCGCATAGTTGCAGACCACGAACTCTGAGTCGTACGGCGTGACCGGGGGACCGATGCTGCGGCGTGACCTGTGAATTGCTTGACAGGTTGTAGCATGACAGGGGTCCAGAGAGGGCCATCTCGACAATTGTGTGAGGATATCAGTACTTACCAAGGACCGTATACATCGTCTTTGCCTCCGTCGCATTGCTGAATCATGCTGCGCGCCTCGGTGACAGGATGCGACCCTGCGTACTAGGATTTTGAATGGATGGCCGGGCCGCCGCGTATGCGTGGGATCGTTGTGTTCATGCTCGCAAGTGGCGGGTGGTGGGTCCAGTCTGAAGGTGATGTCAGTCCCAAGTACATAAACATAGCCAGGAGGGTTCAGACGTACAATGCTGTCGCTGAGGCCAGCGCGTCGGCGAGGTCGACGAGGGCTCATGGTGCAAACGGGCGCACAGATGGAGGAAAGAGGCCCCGCTCGAGTGGCCAGCGAGGCCAGGATACGGGCATAGGAGCGAGCGGAAGCAACTGTCACTCTGTCATATACACACCGCCTTTATGAGAGAAGTAGGCTGGGAAACACGAGGCGTCGGAGGAGGCTCACGGCCGCGTCCGTTAGAAAGCATATCTGGCGCTACTTGGATAGCCGTTGTCTACCCAGATACGTTTCGAATTCAGTTCTGAATGATATCCGATGTCTTCGGCTATGCCAAGGGATGGAGACGAGGTACCGGGTAGGCTGAGCTATTTGGAGGACAAAGGGCGAAGGCAACGTTCACTTGCCGAGTCGCAACCGAGCGCCGTTTGATACCGAGGAGCGTGAAATATTGCGACGCGTCCCACATACAAGCGCAAACGAATTCACGCGTGCAAGTACACATGTTGAGGAGAAATGAGCACCCAAGCGAGGCTGCAAGGCCGTGAAATGTATGTAGATGAAGGTCAACAGCAGAGGAGCAGTTCCGCGGCTGTCGGCCGACGCGTCCGCCGGAGATTGCCGTGATGGGTGTGGCGGATCGAGCAGGACAATAGAGCTCTATCCTGAACGGCCACGACGCGCCTTCGCCTGATCTTCCTGTCGCTCCGTCATTCCTGTATCTCTAGTAATGGTATCTGAGGGAACGGATGGCCAGTACATTGCCTCTAGTGTCGACGACGTGGATGTCCTGCTTGAATCACTGATCTCAAGGTTCTCTGCTCTAACATTGGCAGGTGCGTACCCGAGACTGCTAAGCATGAATCGAGCTGAATCAACCCCATAGATACTTCGTCTTTTCCTCGATCTGCTACCACTCTTGAAGATCTACCGAATGAGATACTGCTGAAGATATTCGAAGTGCTCAACGGTCTCGCGGCGCCGGGCTGGTCGCTCGAAGAGTCCCGTCCGGGCCTGTCCGTACCGCCGTGTATGTGTGTATCGTACGTGTGTCGGCGCTGGAGGTCACTTGCTCTATCTGTATCTCTTCTCTGGTCGGCCGTCATTGGACCAAGCAGGACTTGGACGGAGCAGTGCTTCTCACGATGCTCTGAGGTCCACCTCGTCGCACTGTTCATCGACGAGCGTTACGCAAACCCAAATCAGAGGTCGTACCAGTCCGGCGTGGAGCTTGCGATGCAGCGCCTTCATACTGCCACTCATCTACACATACGACTGGACCTGCCAGATCTAGCCAATATAGAAGTGGCCCGCCATGGGCGTATGAAAGCAGACTGGCTGACTCATTTTCTTATGCACAACGCGGCGCCCGTGTTACACTCCCTTATGATCAGCGTTGGGGATGCGATGAAGGTCCAATCTCGCAATTTCAACGTCAATGTCCCCTCGACATCATTCTCCGCCTTGAAATCTGCTTCTTTCAGGAGTTGTGGGGTTCTCAATCCCCGACGAGTGCTCCCAGAATGTCTAACAGAACTTGACTGTGCTCACACTGTCATGTGGCAGAACGTAGACGACATGATCAACCTGCTTAGGGGACTTCCTAACCTTGCACGTCTTCAATATACTATAGTCCATCCGCAAGGACGCCACCTCTTTGATGCCACACCGTCCATGGTCCACGATAAGCGTAGTCTGCATATGCGCCATCTGAAGACAGTCTCTCTTCATACGTCCGTGACAGAGGCCGCGACCATCTTAACGTATCTGGCGTTGCCGTCTGACGCCCATATCAAGATCGACAGGTCGCATACGTACCTACTTGGTTATGACGTTCAGCACGCGGACGCAGACGTAGTGCGGGGAGTTGTTCGGCCTTTACTCGCAGCTCTCGATGACCATCGCGTGGCTGCTCGCGAGTTCGAGTACAATCGCGTACTCATTAGCCAGTTCATGTGGATAGAGCTCCCCAAGAAGGTGCCTATATTAACGCCCAAAGTGGAACCATGGATGTTCTGCACCCTCCCAGGATCGGATAAGTCGGAGGTGCGCTCAGCCTGCGCGCTGATGCTCTTTTCCCGAGCTATGTCATGGGCATACAGCCTCTTGATCTCTGATAACCTCGAATATATCCTCGTCGGTGGTTTGGGCTCTGAAGCACGGGAGGCCGCACGGACCAGCTACACGGACGCGATCGAGTTGCAGTCCTCAGGCGATGTCGCCGCTTTCTTAACTCTCTTCGATGCACGCGATGGCGCGCCCAATCTTCTTTTCCCGTACCTATCCCATCTCAGCGTAGGAGAAGTAGACCTCACAGACGAAGACGTGCGCCGTCTGGTCGGATTTCTGTTCTGTCGGCCTGAGTTAGCGTCGTCGAGTTCGCCGTCGTCGGGGATGGACTTTTACCTTCGGAGCTGTCGCGTGCCTCCTATCACGGAAAGAAGACTGCGCAAACTTGACCGTCTTGGACTGCGCCTCAGGGCACAAGTTTTCCCCCGGAAGCCAGCCGTTACCAAGCCGGACAGTAATCGTTCAACGGAGAAAGAGCCGAAAGCGACTTCTGCTCCTGGCAAAACGGATATCCTGGCCGAAGACGATGCCGATCTGGCGAGCAGTAGCTCGGCGTGCATGTGCGAAGAATGCTACCTGGACAGGCGTGTCAGGCGGGACTGGGAGGAGCTGAGAGAATGGCTTGGGGTGGAACTCAGGAAGCCGCAGAGACTCCTAAAGCCCGGATCGAATCATTAGATGTAGTTAATAGTCTACGATACGCGCGGTTGTACGTTAGCAATCATATCCAAACTAGCTTCATCTCTTGCGCTCAACTATGATCTGAAAGCGTGCTCGTAATCCGCGGTCATTGATCGCCGTGGAAGAAAGAGATTATGTTCGCGGTGGTGAACTTACGAGTGGCTGCCAGGGCGCGAGGACACATGGTAAAGTAAAGTTGACAGTGTAACCCGCGAGGGCCTTTACCAGCTGGAATACGGGGCTTAGACCTCAGGTGTCTGCGTGGAGACCCATCCGCCCCTGGCAGATTGCGATACGTACGGCGCAGCGCCAGCTTGCGCGCAGTCGCCGACGCGTTCAGCGCGCCTGTCATGTGACCGCGTCTCGCCGTTCTTCCGGCGTTCGCTGTTTTGTTGTCTTCCCAACAAGTACGGCGGACGGCGGGCGCGGAAAGCTCTGCTCACTCGCGCTCGAGGGAGCTCACTACTGACCAGGGCTCCTACGCGCGAGCGCGGAGCGCGTTCGGCAGCGCGGCATGTTCGGACCGATCAACACGCGTACTACTTGAGCGTGGCTCCGAGCGGCGAGAACCGATGTGCGTCTTGCTCTTGACGCCCATCCAATCGCAAATACTGCTCCCCTTTGGCATCGGTTACGCGTCTACTCATCCAAGAAACGCGGTGTGGGGGAGTCCCTTGGGCGGTATCTCACTTCCAGTATACCTTCTTGACCGGTGTCTCTACAAATCGGATACCCGCCCCGTCTTCGTTCATGTCTGACCAGTCGCTGTGGGAGAGCGCACCTCCATGTGATCTGCAGGTTGCATGCTCATAGCAGGAAGCTCTTCGGCTCTCTACGTGTGCCTGTGTGCACGCACACATGCATTGCCGTTAGGCACTTTCCGCCGCCCTGAGCCGCGCGCATCTTGCATCGACGGTGGGATGAGCACAAGTCGGTAGGACGACTGTTCCGTCGAGGGTCACGGCGTTCATCGGATGAGATGCGTCGGGCTATTGATGCATACGTCTGTGCATATGATACGCGCATGATGTGACGGTGCATAGACGGTGCTCAACCGTCGCCTTACGGCCTTTCGGCGGATAAGTACCCACCGAACCTCCTTCAACGTTCGAACGTTCGCCTCTCAGCAGTCCAAAGAACCCGCGCGGCCAGGTTCGACGCGCTGCCTCATTTCTCCAATATATTGTGAGCGCGTTCAAGCCGCAGGCTCAAGCACGCGAGGTGCGGAAACAAAGCGCAGAGGGCCGAGGACGTGATCTCACGGCGCGCGACTCTTTCGACTTAGTGCGACGTTCGCTCGTAGGACACCTGGTACGGTCGTCACCCGTAGACGGTATGACACCAGAGCTCATCGTGCCATTGATAGCTGGAAGGCGAGCTTCATACACTTAGAGAAATGATGACCGGTACGTAGTTGGAGCAGACGGCGAAGTTGCGTTTACAGCCCGACGACACGTCGCTCTCAAATTGAATCTCAATCCGATTTATTTAATTCTGGCGACTGTCGCCGCGATGGTACATGGGTCTCTCCGAGGAGATCAGCTAGAATACGAAGTCGTGCCTTTGTCTCCGTACTGGCTGGAAGCTCAGTCCGTGTGATCATACAGGCGCAAACTTGCCAAGGATCATATGCATGTTTCCTGGTTTTGGGATAAAACAAAAGAACGGTACAGCACATCATAATGACGAGAGTGGGATTCGAACCCACGCCCTTTCGGACCAGATTGCAGGTGAGGACCTTAGTCTGGCGCCTTAGACCGCTCGGCCATCTCGCCATGGAGCATGCGGTAAACTCTAATACTAGTTTCTCCACAACCTGGCCTCAATCTGAACCAGCAGTTCTGAGTTCATCGCTGGCCTGACGAGGGTCGCGAAGTGGCACATGTCGGCCGGCGGCGTATGCGCGGACTGCGCTTGTCGGTGGATCGTAGGTAAGTAGTGCGTCCTCAGGAAGCAGGGTCACAAGATACGAGTACATGTGTGTAGGACAGTGGTACGTACGCTAAAAGCCGTAGTCAAGGACGCCGTGGGGGGGCAATACCAGCTGCATTCTTTGCCCCAGTCGGTCTCGTCCGTTCAATGGCGATACTGGACGTGTACATGGTCTTGTTCTACGTATACCCTGCACGGGTGAATACCTGGCATCGGACTGGGCAGAGCGTCAGCGGGGCGCGCGATACTAGCCACGGGATCACGTACTTGGGTACGTATCTGAGGCTCGCGGCTGTCCTCGTTCTTCAACATCGGTGTCGAGAGTTGGTGGTGATGATGGCGTCGAGCGACCGCCGCGATGGGGATGGGCTCGGCGGTGGTTGTTTGCGCGGTACACGGCGTCAGAGAGGTCGACGACGCGGTGGCGCTGCGTCTTGACGAGGTCGAGAGTTTAGAGATCAGTCGTAGGCGTCGACAGTGACATTGTTTCGATGATGGGATCTTGCGGTTTCAGATGCGGCAGCCGGCTAGCCATCACCAGTCCGGCTTCCGTAGCTTAGGCCAAAGCGTACAAATGCTGCATAGCCAGTCGTTCGTCTTGACGTTGCTGACGTGAGGAGGTCGGACCGCTGTGGGAGTGATAGCCGGTCCTCGGCGTGAACAGATGGCATCCGTTACCGAGCAAGCGCCGAGCACACGCCGACGTCCGTCGACCACGTCGCCTCACTCATGCCCCGCAGATCACAGGTGTACTCAAAGCAGGTGTCAAGACCCAGAATATAGCGCAACCTCGGGGAGTCTGGCGCGACGTGAGAGTACGAGACCAACCCGCATCACCGCGACCGCGCGAGGATCCGCAACCAGGAACGTCCACAAGTCTACACTACATCTTACACCGCTACTACCACCCCATGCGCTCCATCGCACCTCGCACTCGTTGATGCGCCCTCCATGTCGTCCGGCGCCCCAGCCCTCTCGCTCGCGACCCACCTCTCCCACACCTACCTCTCCCAGTCCGACTCCTCCGACGACCCGGCGTACAACCCCTTCGCCGACACCACACCCAGTACCTCTACGTCTCAAGCGAGGTCTAAGAGTGGCACGACGGGCTATGCGGGCCCGTACTCTGCGAGCACGCCCAGCACGAGCGTGCTGCGACCGCGCCGGCGCGGGTCGGATAGTGTGCTCGGGCGGGCGGGGGGATCGCCGGGGGTGCATGCGCGGGCGCCGACACTTGATATTTCTGCGCCTTCACCGTCACCCTCACGGCCTGTGCAATCGCTGCAAAGACGAAGATCGGATTATACGCAGACGAACGGGAGTGCGGGTGGTGCGGTGGAGGAAGAAGAGGAAGGAGAGGGGGAGGGAGAAGAGGACGAGGACCACCCGCTGCGGAGACGGAGCTCGAGCAGGAGCGTGCGGAGCACGGCGAGCACGAAGCCGAGGCTGCGCGCGGCGTTGGCTGCTACGCGGGAGAGCAGGGAGGAGGGGAGGGAGGCGAGGGGGAGGGAGGCGAGGAGGGAGGGGCAGAGGGCCGTGCTGGTGCATCAGGTGGGTAATTGTTTGTTTAATCTGGACTCGGCATACGTGTGGCGTGGGCTAAGGGCTTAGTGCGCGGGATGGATATAATGATGGGAATATGGATGGCATATCGTGCATATGCTCAAGATCCCGACTGGGATCTGGCACATAGCACCGGCCGTGCGGTGGAGGAGTCGCAGCTCGACTCGAATGTGACCAGTCGTGCCACTCCTTGGCATCAATAGGATGAAAGCGCGCTATCTTATAGGCACTCGTCGAGGCGACCTCGTTCGCGCGGCTCCGAGGTCACGGTACGAGTCGCAGCCCTCGAGCTGGCGCACTCGGCCTCATCACCGATTTGTAGCGCCATGCTTGCGTGTATGCGATATGAAGGGACCAGTCGCTGTCCTCCCGGTATCGCAGAACTCACAAATCGAATGAACGTTGGGATGCTCGACGAGAGCGATGGATGAATCCCACACGATTTCTACGCGCACACACTCTCAACTATCTCCATCTCGACCTCTCTTCTCCGATCTGATATAGACATAGTACTAACACATTCCCACCCCACTAGGTAACCCCAACCGACTCCCTGCCCGGCGTATCCCTCAAATACGGCATCGCGCTCTCCGACCTCCGCCGGGCGAACCAGCTCTGGGCGCACGACAGCATCCACCTGCGCGCGACGCTGCTCGTCCCGCTCGATCAGGCGCGCAATGCACGGATTGCGGTCGTGGATGCGGCCGCGGAGGGGAAGGACCTACTCAGTCCTGACGACGGCGATCGATTCACGAGGAGTCCGGATGGGAGGGGAGTGGGCGGGAGTGGGCTGTTGAGCCCCGAATCGAGCGACGAGCCGACGAGTTATACCGCATCCCCACCTCGACTATCTCAAGACCCCTCCTCATCCTCATCCTCCCGCCCATCCCGCTCACCAAACCGAACCCGCACACGAACATCCCACGCCCGATCAGCCACCGAACCTCCATCCGCCCCCGCACCTCATCTGACAGTCACGCGCGTCCCAGCGAGCCGCCTCTCGTTCTTCCCGCCCCCGGCTCAACATAAGGCGAAGGAGAGAGTAAGGGCGAGCGAGGAGCTGCCCAGGCTCGGCGGGTTGAGCGGTGCGGATGTGGGGAGGGCGAGGGCGGGGAGCGATCTGCCGCACCGTCATCGTCGGCCGTCGCCTCGCGCGCGGAGCAGAGATCTGTTTTCGCTCCTCACACCGCCCGCCTCGTCTTCCTCCCCGTCCTCTTCCCAACACGACTACTTCTCCTCTACGACACATCCCAATCAGGCGCCAGGGCAAGACGCGCTCGCGGCGGCGAAATCGCTCGGCAGGGCCGCGGGGCGCGCGGCGGGGTGGTTGGCTGATGCGCTTGCTATACCGGTGCCGGTGCCGCCTCTGCCGTTGCAGAATGCGTTGGGTAAGGGCGTGGGGGAGAGGGGGGATGCGGTTGAGTTGGGGAGCGCGCGGAAGGGGAAGGGGCGCGCGGCGCCGGGATCGGGCTCGGGGTCCGCTACACCGCGCAATCATAACAACAGCGGCAACAGCGGCAAATACAACCCGTGGTTCACCCCCCGCGCACCGTCACCCGCGTTATCAGACGGCGTCTCGACGGCTTCGTCTGCGAGCTTGTCGCCGTTCGTCCCGCCTAGAGCGAAGAATAGGCGCGGGGTAGATGAAAGTGGGGTGGACGGGGAGGGGATCCGGATGGCGAGCAGTCCGCCGCGGGTGCAGGCGCAGCCGGAGGCGAGGCGGGGGATGGTTGTTCCTACTTCGCGGCGGTAGGTTGGGTGAGGAGGTGCTGCGGGGTGCTGCGGTGGACTATTCGATATAGTAGAGGTAGATTGATGGGATTGGATGTGTATACGGACTAATGTATAATATATGGTCTCTCTAGAACAGTCTGAGTCGAGAGCCGGCGGCGAGTGGTGGTGGCCTGTTTGAGGTGATCCGTGCTGTATCATATCAGAACTTGAGGTATATCTCAGAGGCCTAGGCTGGTTTGAGAGATCGTATGGATAGGCGCGTGGAACGCGTACCGATCCGCGCGGGGTGGAGACGCGCTCGGGCGCGCTCGCGGCGAGCGCGGAAAGTCATGAGACCGTGAGTACGCCATGCTGCTGATACCGTGTACGATCTACAGGTGTGCGAAGTTGTTTCTCCCTCTCCCTTTGGCATCCGTACACCGAGCAGTCGCTGCCCATCGTTGGAAATGAACGATTGAGTTCACGCAGTCGAATTTGTATGCGGCGCGACAGATGGAAAAGCTCAAGCAGACTCCATAAGCGGAGTCCTGCGACGCTGAGTCTGCCTAGGGGAGACTAGGAACAGCATGCGTTGTCAATGCAGCTCATCCGCAGGCAGGCCCGGCGCTCGCATGTTCCGCTACGAACAAGCTCGGTCCATGATCGATCACGGATGGGAGACGCGCTCGCGCGGGAAGTCATGAGACCGTGAGCACGCCGCATTGCCGACCCTCATACGGCCGTAGAAGGCTCTTGCTTCCTCCCTCCACTCCCTCCATCCATCGTAGCAAACGACGGTGACTTTGACCATCTCTACCATGTCTCAAGATAACGCTGCGCACTCCCCTTCTGGCGATGCACCCGCTTCTGGCCCAACTTACTCGCAAAGCTTGAGCGCTGCCCAAGGAACCGTCGGCTCTGCGTACGCCATTCCGGCGCTGCCAGGCCAATCAGCGACATCGTTGTCCACGTCCTCGAGACATTCCAACGCTCATGGCGGGCGGGATTTGCAGCGCCACAAGGATTCTCGCCCCGGCGACATCGTGTATAAGTGCCCGTGGTGTGGAGAAGGATTCGCTCTCGCGGAAATGCTCAAGCATCACATCGATGAGCCGTGCTTGCTCACCCCGCCCGGTGTTAACACGGTTGTCTATGAACTGCCTGCAGCTCCTGTTTCACGTCATGGCCGCGTCAAGGAGCTTCGACACGTAGTCGATCTTCTTTTGGGTCCGTCTCCTGCGCGTGTCGCAATCCGAGGCTCTTGGGGCATAGGCAAAACCCACCTCGCTCTTCAGGTATTACATGACGTGAGCGTGGCGCAGGAGTACAGAAATCACCGCTTCTTCGTGTCTTGCGAACATGATCGCACAGCTGAGGCGCTCATCGAGCATTTGCTGATGATATTCAATCTGACGCATGTACCTACCAATAGAGGATCACCGCAAGACATTCTGATCGAGCATTTAATGCTATTCCCTAAGCTGTTGCTCTGTTTGGACAGCTTTGAAATGACTTGGGATGCCGATATAGCGGCCACAGAAGCCTTCTTGTATGCACTCGTGACCAAGATTGACCGATTGGCACTTATCATCACAGTTCGCGGAACAGTCTACCCCGAACTAGTATCATGGACGAACCCGCTGCTTTTTCCACTAGCACCCTTGAGTCATGACGAGATGTTGAAAATTTGGGATGACATTCGTTCTGCGCACGATGAATATGCTTCGAACTTGATTGCGGATATGGGTGGAGTCCCTCTTCCTGTAACGATCCTTGCTCAACTCGCCGAACACGAGTCCTCTGAAAACCTTTATACGCGGTGGAAAAGAGAGCGTACATCGATGCTGAAGATCCATGGCGGAGCTTCCCGGTTAACGAATGTTGATGCCTCAATCGAACTCACACTTTGTGGTCCACGTTTCGGGGGCTGTCCACTGGCTGCGGAAATTTTGCATCTAATATGTATGCTGCCACAAGGATTACGCAGAATCCACATAGACTGCCAGGAGGATCTCTGGTTTGATCGTGCTCATCCAAACTTTCCTTTCATTGGGGACACCGATTTGGCGGTCTCCATCTTGGAAGACTGCGCAATTTTAAAGGATTCTGCCCGGGATGACGAATTCCTCGTTGCTACTGCGCTTCTGCGTGACTACGTACTCACCCATCAACAGATCTCATCCGAACTATGCGGATTCATGTTGGACATATATAGACAGCTACCGGCAGTGAGCTTTGATGATCATCCAGACCTTCAGGCCTATCTACGTGATATTATATATCCAGAGAGCGAGAACATACGCTCCATACTGAGGCTTTCAATGACTTGCAAACCGCTTCCCCCGTCCCTCCAGCAGGCACTGGTCTCCGTTGCCTCCCTCTTACAACTCAACCAGGAGGCACAGTTCATTGATACTTCCTTCCTTTTGGAGGCTATAACACTTGCTCGTAGCAGTGGGTTCAGATGGGCCGAAGCTCACCTACTACAAGCACTAGCGCAGAGCTTATTTCGAGCGCAAGGTTGCACCAGTGAAGTAGTCTCGGTGTTCACGTCTGCTCTTGATCTTCATCGAGATCTCGGAGACACGACCGGTGTTTATAAGTGTATGCTCGCCCTTGGAGGGTTGCATATGCAAATGGGCCGATTGCAGTGTGCAGAGCAAATGCTTTCATCAGCACTCGAGGCAATCCGCGCCGATCCTATAAGATCGATGTTTGATGGATTCGGCCTCAACTATGCTCGGAAAGACGAAGCATATGCCTTGTGCGGTTTGGGATGTATACACATGCTCCTGAGACGATTCAGTGAGGCAGAGAAGGAGCTCCAGTCTGCGCTCGCTCTCAAAGGTGTTATCAAGAATTGCCATAAGCTAATGAAAGATGCTGACGACGCTCTTGCAAGACTTCGTATCCTCCGACAGGATCTTGAAGCCGAGCGTATGTGCACGAGCGACATGGAGACTTCATCAGGTCCCTCCGATGAGGGTCCCGACACATCGGACACACAGGCAGACGACCTTTTGCCTCCTGTGCCCCCGTTACCGCAGACATCTCGACCTCCAAGTCGTTCATCAGTGAAACCATCGGATGCATATCCTGCTAGTGGTCATAGAGGCCCTACAGACCTATATTCAGTGCTCAGACATCTGATGATCAATGCCGACGTCGCTGTTGAAGTGATCCCGTACGTGTCAACATACGTGGCGGCCCTGCTTCTGCCGCTTGCGAGCTCTCCCGAGGAACACAATCGCTTTGTATCGACAATCGTGTCCATCCTGGGAAGATTCACTTGCTATCAGCGCCTATGCGAAGCCGATCTAGATGCAAACGGCGAAGGCGACAGTCGGTTTGATAGCATCAGGAAGAGCCTCTTGAAGGAATGGATGGTTGTCGTGACTATAGTGCGTGATCATCGAACACTTGAATGCCATGCACCGTACTGATGGCACTACATAGCTTGCCGCTGTTACTGCGTACGTATATGCTCAACATCTCCATGCATGCTCTGCATCGGAGTCTTCGTGGTCTGACCTTCTCTTCTTCTAGGATTGGTAGCGCAGGCTTCGTAGCCGCCCCAGGCAGCATCGTTCCAATCGGCACTCCAGCGCTCTTCTGCCTTATCGTATCCGCGAGCGCGGCCGCGCTCGGGTTCGTCGTTTGTGTCGTGTTGCTATTCCAATGCTGGAATATAGATGCGGCAAGGTTCAGGGTAATCGTCCCAGCATTCACCAGTCCGCACCGTCACTAATGGACAACTGCAGAAACTCGCGCTCGGCATATATGAGGATTACTGCTTTTTCGCGATAATGGCCGCCACACCCGCGCTCTCCCTACTTCTGGCTGGACTGTTCGTGGCGCTGTTCGTCCTAATCGCTGCATGGAGAGTGTGGCCGGCAGCTGTTGCCGCGTTAGCGGCCGTCTTCACCATTCTGGTCGGCATGCAGTACATCATTAAGGGCGGGGAGATCCTGATAACGCATGTGAGGAGGTGGTCAAGAACTGTATTGGATGGTTGCGTTTCTTTCGTAGGAGCGCTGAAAGCTAAGTTAGCTATGATGCGTACAGTATCGGCTTCGCGACCCTCGACGTAGAGTAGTTCGGTTGACTTGGAATATTTAGATATATGCGCGATCTGGTTATGAACTTCCAATGACTGGCTGTTCGAGGCCCTTCTTTGCGTGACTTAGGTGGCAATTGTCGTACCAGTCCACGAAATGTATAGAGCAGGGTGATCATGGTGGTCGGAAGTGAGTGTCGATTCGTTCGGGCTTGGCCCGCGCGCATCTTCACGCGCTCGGCCCGCTCCGGAGATGGCGCGCCCATCCCCCGGCCATTTCTCTGGATGCAACCACCATGCTGTCTGTCTCAATCCTCTACGCCCGTCAGCAGGATTTACATGCGGCTATGCCTAATTGTCCTGTTTGAGGCTCAGTGAGACCGACATAACTCTCGGCGTGACCCTCAAATACGGCATCTCTCTCTGAGACCTCCGCAAAGCGAACTAGCTCCGGGCGCACGATAGCATCCACCTGCGCGCGACGCTGCTTGTACCGCTCGATCAAGCGCGGAACGCAAGGATTGCGGCTGTTGATGCGGCGGCGGAGGAGAAGGACCTCTCAAGCCCTGGATAACGGTGACGTTCGAGTGCCGAACAGTTTGGGGAGCGGGTGGCTTAGCCCGGAGCCGAGCGGTACCGGGTTGTCGAGTCCGCAATAGAGCGACGAAACAATATCCTGCACGACATTCCCGCCGCGCCTGGCACAACACCTTCTGGCACAAGACACTCCTCTTCCACATCTCGTCCCTCACGCTCACCAGCCCGAACACGGTCGAACCACGCCCGATCAGCAACTGAACATCTGACAGTCACCAGCGGGCCATCCAGTCACCTCCCGTTCTTTCCCCCGTCAGCTAAATCCAAAGCGCGCTTGAGGGTACGCGCGGGCGAGGAGCTGCCGAGGCTAGGAGGGTTGGGCGAATATGGAGGCATTTTGGGAAGAGCGAGGGCAGGGACCGCTTCACCGCATCGACGTCCATCACCAAGAGCACGAAGCAGAGATCTGTTTTCGCTCCTCACACCGACCGCCTCTTCCTCATCCCCGTCCTCTTCTCAGCACGACTACTTCTCCCGACCACATCCGAGCACGACCGCGCAAAATCAAGGTCAAGACGTGCTAGCAGCTGTTAAATCCCTCGGCCGAGCGGCCGGGCGAGCAGCGGGGCGGTTGGCCGATGGGCTTGCGATACCGCCGTGGCCGCCTGTGTTGGCTTCGCGTGATCGAACTGATGCGACCGAGTTGGGGGAGCGCTGGGGCCGAACTCGAATGCAGGGTCGGGTTCTGCGACGTGGTTCACCACCCGAGCGCCCTCGCCCGCTACATCCGACGACATCCAGACGTCTTCGTCCGCGAGTCTATCGCCTTTTGTGCCGTCGAGAGCAAAGAACAGGCCGGTGCGGTGTGTGGGTGGTCGGGTGGGTGATGGTGGGGAAAATGGGAGGGGATACGGATGGCGAGTAGTCCGCCGCGGGTGCAGACGCAGCTGGAGGCGAGGATGGGGGATGGTTGTTCCTACTACTGCGTTGCGACGGTAGGCTGTGCGGGTGAAAGGGTGGGGTGGTGTTGAGGTAGACTATTCGGCTGATGCATTAGAGAAGTAGATTGGTGGGATTGGCTGTGTATATGGATCCATGTATAATATCTGGTATCTGGAACAGCTTGAGCGGTCGAGCCGAGCCCGTCCGGGGTGTCCGTAGAGATGATGTGTGCTAGATCCTGCTAGCACTGGAACGGTCATGATCGCTTTGAGGTACATATGCTGGCTGCAAGGCCTCACAAATATGCGCATGAACTGCGTTTTGAGCCGCACGGGCGCGCGGCGCGCCCGCGCGGGAAGTCATGAGACCGTGAGCACCGTGGCCGCACTGCCGACCCTCATACGGCCGTACGAGGCTCTGCCTTCCCCTCCTACCATCAGGATGAGCCGGGATCATTGGTACCGATAGATAGGCGTATCTTTCTCTATCGAGCGTGCGAGATTACTCTCGGTGTATGACCCCACAGCACGCGCAGGGCGTGCGGTGTCTTTCCTTGTGCTTCCAACTATCGCCTACCCCGACCCCACCAAGCGCAGACTCTCTCGATGTCTCAACGTTCCCCGTCTCAAGGATCTGACGATAGTGCCGTTCATGCTCATACTCAACCGCTTTTCGCCTCACCCACGCCCTACGCAGGGGCAAATTATGGCCGTATTCGTACGTGACGAAATTTGTGGTCGTCTCTTTCTGTCTGACATGATATGCAGAACTTGATGTTGGTCTTATCCGAAACGCACAAGGAAGTTTTGGGGTAGCAGTCAAGCGCCTGGCTGTTGCAGCGCGTGCGCCTCAGAGCATATCCTACCTTAAGAGAGAGTTGGGAAGTGCCCTGGACGCGTTCCTCTCGATGAAGGATATTGTGAGTTTCTTGCGAGAACGTGTCTCGAATTGCTCTCATGGATAGCTCAGAGACTTGAGAACTGGGAGAAAGAACTAGACATGTTGATGAGCATTGTGCGTAAGATCAAGTTCATCGTTGATGCAGTGCGGAAGCAATGCGAATCCTCGACACCGTGCGATGGCACGCTCCCCTCCTTTCTGTTATGGCCGCTCACCGTACTAGAAACGTATGTCTCTCTTGTCATAGGTGTCTTCCTGGAGCTGATAAAGATCCCAGAAGCCTTGCAACGACCCTGGAAATTTTGAACATGGACCTCGGAACGGACGTCACGCCTGTGCGTTTCACACTGAGTAAAGCTCAAGACCGGGTGCGGCAGTGCGAATTACATCTCCAACATGCACTTGACATGCTTACTGTGAGGACCGAAGTGCTATGTCATCCCGCGTGTACCGAAGCTAACTTTCACGCAGACCTCTCTCCGAGATAACGATTCGGCACTATCACACACTTCAAGCAACTCCGGAAATTTCGAACCTTCCGGGTCTGCAGAGGTACGCCCAATGATACGCTTTGCCAACCAAAGACTTACGGGAAATAGTCGTGGCCTCTATGTCTCCCAGACCCTGTATCTTCGTATGTAGTCAGCCCAAAAATGGTCATCACATCTGCTCACATCTCTACCAGGAGCGATGTGGCTACTGCTGGGATAATGCGCATCTCACCAGGACTGCATGGACGTTCTGATGAGTTGCATTTGATTGTGAATGCGATTCTATATAATTCACAGGCTCACATCGCGATCCTTGGTCCTGGGGGCATTGGCAAATCGCGTCTCGCTACGACGGTATTGGATGATGATCGCATGCTCGGACGTTACGGACATCGCCGTTTCATGGTGTCTTGCGAGAGACTGAAGACTGCCGAAGAAATTGCTGAGAGGCTCCTTGACTTAACTGATCTGAGGGGCAGCTTCATACGACACTCTTCTCTGCAGGAGCTACTTCAGGCTCATATGTCATGTCAATCGAATGCATTGATCTGTTTGGACGGCCTGAGGACGGTTTGGAATACCGACTCTCAAGCTGTAGAGACCTTGTTGTCCGGATTGGCGGCACTTGCCCGCGTTGCGATCATCGTTACTTCTCGTGGTGAAGCTGTCCCGCTATCACTATCCTGGTCAGAACCGCTGTTCTCACCACTCAGCCCCTTGCGACATGAAGCAATGTGGGAAATCTGGTCGGAAATTGGAAGTGATCATTCTTTCCGAGTGTCAGAAGTACCACTCGAAGACATTGGTGGTTCTCCACTCGCAATCACCCTTCTCGCAGCCCTGCGTCAGAACTTTTTTGCTCGTGAGATATTATCGCTCGTGGGCCGAGGACTAGGCAACAAAGATCGTATGCCCGAGGTTGGGCTAATGGAGAAAGACAAGTATTACATTTTACCCCCGTTACCAGAGGATATTAACATTGTCCTACTCTTGATTGTGATCTGCATACTGCCTCAAGGGCTTCGGAGAGGGCGTCTCCCCGAGTTCATATATCATTTCCGCCAAGTGCTTCACGGTGTAGAGTCATCTCTCACTCTCTTGGGAGAGTGCTCATTGGTCTTCAACCACGGCGAATTCATAGTTGTTCGTGCTTCAGTACGTGCCCTCGTGCTTGAAAATAGCAATATACTCTCCGAGGCCTTCACATGCCTGCTGGATCTCTATACTGCTTTGTTGGATCGAATTCCAGATGATACTGCCTCGAAGCAGTCATATCAACAATCCCTTATCAACCCCGAGATCTTGAACATATCGCGGGTATTGCTACTTTCAGTGAAGTATGACATCACTCTATACCGTGAGGAGCAGGTCCTGTCCTTGATCTGCGCTTTGAAACGATTTGATGAGGAGTCGAGTTCGGAGGATCTCGAGCTCTTATCGGAAAGCATCTTCTACGCCCAGAAGCACCATTTTATCTTGTCCGAGGCCCAACTCTGGCATGCAAAGGGGCAATGCCTACTTCGTCTTGAAGGCTGTACAGACGAAACACTATCTGCCTTCAGAGCGGCGCATTGGCTCTATAACCAACTTGGGGATGAAGTAGGGAAATCCACGAGTCTTCTTGCTCTTGGCAGGGTGTACAAAGCGCGAGGCCATAGTGAACATGCAGAACATGCTTTACGTTCTGCACTCGAGCTTTTTCGGAATAGGATCGATGATACCTATATCAAAGAAGCCTACACTCTGTCTGATCTGGCGTCTGTACATCAAAGTATGGGCCGATTGGATGATGCGAAGCTCGAGCTCGAGTCGCTTGTCGAGTTGGTGGACACCTTCGACGTGCCCGAGACAATTGGAGATGATGCCAGAAAGAATCTACGCACGATCGACGCGCATCATCGGTGGTTCGGGGCTCATGACAGCCTCGTGGATGACAAGGCGGGTACACATGCATCCCGACCAAGAGATAGAGCCTCGTCAATGCAATCTCACTCTACCTCCAAACCATCATCGACACACTCGCCCTTGCAGGTACTTCGCCGGCGCCGCCATCGCTTGAGGGACCCGTCTCCGAGTGATGACCCTGCTAAACATCGTGACGAGCAGTCCAAGCCTTCGATGCGCCGGCCCATCTCTGAAGATCAATTTGTTTTGGGAGTGGTTGAGATTGCATTCCCAAGTATTCTTCCCTTGGTGCAATCACCCGAAGGTGAAAGCTCCGCGATTTTGATTGCCGTGTCATTTCTGGGAAGATATACATGCTATCGCCGTCTGTGCGAGCTTGAGAAGACCAAGAATGGCGAGGACGATATCCGCTTCGAGCACATCAAAGGCGAACTCCTTCAGCATTGGATGGTCATGATAACTGTGGTACGTGAATGCCGGTCCTCAACGTCATACATCTGATGCTGATGTTCATGCATTCTCAGCTGGCTGCCATATTGGCGTACGTCAATCTTTTAAACCTATCATGTTGATCAGTGGATACTCATGGACTCGTAGGATGGCCATTACCGTGTTCGTCGCTGCGTCAGGAAGCGTGATTCCCGTCGGCAATATGGCGCTCCTTTGTTTAGGAGTATCTGCGAGCGCCGCGGCGCTCGGATTCATGGTCTGCAGTGCATTGCTAATTCGATGCTGGCATGTTAACGCCGAACAGTTCCGGGTAAGAGTGTCGTTCACCCATAAAAACCTCGCGCCAGATGAGCTCATTCACATCTAGACATTGGCTCTCGGTCTGTACGAGGACTATTGCTTCTTCGCGATAGCCTCCAGCATACCATCACTGGCATTGCTTCTCGCCAGCTTGTTCATCATGCTTTGCGTCCTCGTCATCGCGGGAGGAGCATGGCCCAGGACCGTCATCAGCCTGAGCGTCATCTTCGGTGTTTTACTAGGCCTAGAGTACATCATCAAATCAGGAGAGATCGTACTCAAGGCTCTCAGGCGGGGCGTACGGGCAATGCTCGGTCGTTCGGGACCCTTCTTGGCTGCGGCATGGACCAGTATCACCGTCGGTTTCCTGGCAGTCTTGCCAACAAGCGCGCGTACTACAGTTTGACGTGCCGCTTACATACGACTATACACGCAACGTCTCGACGGATGGATAGTGGCAGAACGGCTTGTAGAATAACTTCTTTATCAGAAATGGTAGCTTTGTCGTTTACATGACATGTTTCGTTGCAGTAACGGAGAGTGAGGTCGCTCGACGGTGGTGGCAGAAGGCAAGTTCGAGGCGAGACGCCGCGGGCGTGAGACCATCGCGGCCGTTGCCGAAGTTACACACAAGCCCCGCCTGCCACAGCGCTGCGTCAGTGTACGTCCCACAAGCTGGATAGATAGGTAATTGACCATCGGCGTTCTTGAAAGACCGCCCGCCCCTCCAGTTCGGCCGCACAGTTAACGTTGTCCTTGTTCTTACCCGTGCGAGTCACGCTGCAAGCGCCAGATTCGCGATTGCCCGTGAGATCGCCTGATCCGTCGACCACGGGCGCTCAAGCTCAAGGTCTACACGCGCTGTGCTGCCTCGAGGCTATGAATACGAGATGAGGGGATGCCAGAGATTGGATAACGGCGTTCTGCGGGCAGTAGCCGCACTCGATGCCGATTCCTCCTGAGTTTTGTCTGCGGACGCGTCCTACAGACGGGGTGTGGCGGCAGAACGCGCGCAGTACTGTCTGCGCATCCTATTGACGTTGATCCCTCCTACTGGGTTCATGACCGCTTCGGATTGCTTATGCTTGGCATAAGAGACGCGTCTAGATAGACGTAGCAGGGCAAAACCTAGAGCGCTACTCGCTGTGGCGTCGGGCTAACACGATGCCGCGTGGAAGTCCACGAGCGATGAGATCGCCCTCACAGTAACACTCGCCTCGCTAGGCCCAACAAAAGGGGAAGCACGACAAGCTCCATCATCATTCGTAGAAGCAGTACAGGCGTACTAGGATCTGCCTCGTGTGCTCTCATGGCAGGTCCGGGCGCCTGTTTCGGCTTGCATAAAGTGCGATTTGAAGGAGGAGGGTTGGTAGGTCTTTATCGCAACTGTCCTCTTCACCCCCCATCCACAAACACGAACATGTTCAACATCGCGTACCCTCCAACCTGTGCGGCTGAAGAGCAACCTGCGGCACAAGGGCCCGCGGACGATCAGCCCGCTCCGGACCCCAAGCCGACGGTCCCGCCTGCTGGGAGGCAGATTGTCAGTGGCGCCAAGTGTGGCGCGTGCGGCAAGTAGCCTTCGCGCATGCAGAGATGTTGGTACTGATGAGAGGGAGAAGGTGGGATTAACGACCATTATCCGAGCTGTCCGATCGTTGCGTTGGATAGGAAGTAGGCGCATCGTTAAGATCTCCACCCGTCGGTCCTCGCTTCAGTCGCCGCCTTGACCGAGCTCGCTTTCCTCTATCATATTCCCCCGTGTATCAGTATATCCAGTCTCATCAGTCATCCATACCCGTTTCACCATTCTGCCAAAGCACATAGGTGCCGTCCATGCGCGCGACACCAAGTTACCACGAGCAGGACGCAGGCCGAGGTGAGGCAGCACAACCGAGCACCAGTGTGGCGTCAAACCAAGTGTTTACTCATCAAGATTGATCGCGTTTCCGAATTTAGCATACAACGCAACCTTAAGCTGCTTCATCTCTCCCGCACACTCGTCCGCTCGTACTTTCAACTTCTCCAGAGACTCTTCCGTGGCGGCTTGGTCGGATGCGAGGCGTTTCATGGCGCGTGAGTGGGGCATGTGAAGAAAGGCTTCGCCGACTCGGTATCTAGTTTATATGACGGGCAATGAGTAAAAGCATGCATTGAAACAGCTGTACAGATACGCACAGTACGGGCTCGTCTTCGTCTGCGAGTTCGAGTTCCATCGAGAGGTCGTCTAACGCTTCCTTCTCTTGCTAGAGTCCACGTCAGTCGGATGCTCGCCAGTACGGGTAGCCGCACATACCTTCAAAACCTCCATCTTCTCCTCAATAGTCTTTATCCGACCATTCAACTTAGAGAACGAGTTGATCTTCTGCTGATCCTCTGCGCATTCTCATAAGCAGATGGATATTCAGAAGCGAGAAGTTACGTACCCCATGAGACTTGCGTTCCCTCGTCCTCCTCCTGTCCCTGTGGTAGCTATACCTAGTTCAGCATTTGTGCATACTGAAGCCCAGAAGTTTGACATACCATCCGCATGATGATCCAAGCTGATGACGGTCGAAGACAACTTGATCAGCGCACGTCTTGACGCGTCGAAATGACGCGGTCACATGCCGGCTTCCCACTAGACGCCCGACCTGGCCGGTTACCGTCCCTGGCGCAGTCCGAGCTCAAACTTACTCCCAACGCTCACGATGGAGAAGGCTCCCGTCGTCGAGCATCTCCCTCCGCCCCACGGCGAAGGGCGCGCCGCCCGTCGCCCACGTGCTCGTGGCCGGCTTCTCGGCATCCTCGCCTGTCTATGTGTTCTACAGCTTCTCGTGCTCACGGATCCCATTGCGCGCATCCTCGGGACGGACCGCGACGATGTGCAGGTTCCGAGGAATCATCAGGAGATACTGGCTCGCTGTCGCTCTTTGGACGTTGAACCCGCTCCGCCGCGTAACTTCTACCGCCGTGACGCTTCCGACCGTGCCGTGGACGGCACTGCACCCATACTCATCCAGAACGCACGTATTTGGACTGGAGGCGATAATGGAACCGAAGTCATCGAGGGCGACGTGTACATCGACAAAGGCATCATCAAGGGCGTGGGACATCTTGGACGGAAGCACGTACAGTCTTTGAAGGAGAAGCATGATATCGTCGTGCTGGATGCCGAAGGTGCTTGGCTTACACCGGGAATCGTCGACCCGCATTCGCATCTTGGCGATGGGTCTTCGCCGTATCTTGATGGAGCGTCTGGAGACGATAACTCGTTGAAGGGGACTATTCAGCCTTGGCTGCGTTCCCTGGACGGACTCAACACGCACGATGACTCGTACCCACTCTCGGTCGCGGGTGGCGTGACTACAGCCTTAGTGTTGCCAGGCAAGCATATTGTTCTTTCTCTGTGTCTACCAGACTCTGACCACACCTCGATTACTGCTAGGTTCGGCGAACGCGATCGGTATGCCGCATCGTTGAGCGAGCACAACACGCCTTACTCATGTATGATGCGCAGGTGGACAGGCATTCAGGATCAAGCTTCGTCCTACGGCTGAGCGTAGCCCGACAAGCATGCTTGTTGAGCCGCCGTTCGGCCTTAACGGCTCGGACGTGGACTACTACACCGCACCAAGATGGCGTCTTATGAAGTAGGCACTGTCTTCATTCGCATGCTGCATAGTGCTCATTGGTCGTCTCTTAGGCAGGCTTGCGGTATGCCGCGTTTATGAATCAGCGCGAACCTGTCTCATTCATTTCTCTTCATACAACAGGCGAGAACCCGAGTGAGTGCCATCCAGCTATGCGCTGGAACCCCGGGCTAATGAGCTTTCAGGTCGCGTCTACGGGTATGCACCAATCATCTCAAAACGTTCTCTCCACTCATGATGAACTAGCGCAACCCGCATGGACACGTTCTGGGCCTTCCGTCAAGCCTACGACAAAGCACGCCAGCTCAAAGAGTCCCAAGACGACTACTGCGCCAAAGCGTCTCGCAACCAATGGAAAGACCTAGGCGATTTCCCCGAAGACCTTCAGTGGGAAATGCTCGTCGATGTCTTACGCGGCAAGGTCAAGGTGCAGACGCACTGCTACGAGGCGGTTGATCTGGACGATCTCATCCGTGTAAGCTGCGCCTATCTCGACTGCGTAAGAATAGTACGCTGACTCGTTATACCAGCTTTCGAATGAGTTCAAGTTCTCCATTGCAGCGGTGCACCACGCCTCGGAAGCATACCTCGTCCCAGACGTCCTCAAGCGCGCATACGGTCATCCGCCCGCCGTCGCACTCTTCGCTACGAACGGCCGCTACAAACGCGAGGCATACCGTGCGAGCGAGTTCGCGCCGCGTCTGTTGAGCGCTGATGGATTGGATGTTGTCATGAAGGTCGGCGCTTTCCCATGGTGTTGTGTATGACACTGGGCGCTGATGGATACGGCAGAGCGACCACCCGGTCTTGAACTCCCGCTACCTCCTGTACGAGGCTCAACAGGCGCACTTCTACGGTCTTCCGGCAAACCTCGCGCTCGCGGCGGTGACAACCAAGCCCGCGAAAGTGATCGGATTGGACCACCGCGTCGGATACGTCAAAGAGGGTAAGGCACTCACCATGCGCCGCTCTTGAGACCCCGTACTGACTCTACCCCGCGATCAGGATGGGACGCAGACCTCGTTCTCTGGGATTCGCACCCGCTCACCCTTGGCGCAACGCCCAAACAAGTCTTCATCGACGGTGTTGCGCAACTCAACAAGCCACACGTCGTCGAGAAGCCCGAGAGCTTCCAAGAAGTACCCGAAACGCCTGACTTCGACGAGGAGGCGTCGAAAGCAAGGACCCACGATGGACTGCCGCCGCTCGCGCCTAACACGACGAGCGCCGGCACGGTCGTCTTCGCTAACGTCAAGAGCGTGTACTTGTCGAACGAGGAGGGCAAGCTCGTTGCGCAAGAAGCTCCCTCCAGTAGCGGATCCGTTGTTGTGCGCGCGGGCAAGCTCCTCTGCGCATTCGCTTTGTGCGAGCAGGCTATGCTCGAGGACAAGGACGCGACTATCGTGGACCTCAAGGGCGGTTCGCTCGCGCCGGGCTTGACGACGTACGGCCCGCCTCTTGGGCTGGCGGAGATCGTCGCTGAGAGCAGTACGATTGATGGAATCGTGTTTGATCCACTCCTTGGATCGGTACCCGGCATCCTGGGAGGCGCTGAGGAGGTCGTGAGGGCTGTTGATGGATTGGCGTTCGGTGGCCGCGATGCGCTGTGCGTTCTTCCGTTCCTGAGCAGGGTTGTGCGAAAGTGCTGATTTGACGTATAGGTCGGCTTACCGAGCTGGAGTAACGAAGGCCATTGTCTCGCCCCTCCACAGCGGCCTCATCTCCGGCCTCGGAACATCCTTCTCACTCGCCGCACCCCACCGTCTCGCAAAAGGCGCCATCATATCGTCCACCACCGCCCTCCACGTCACAATCACCCACCTCGGCAAACCATCCATCTCAACTCAAATCGCCGCGCTCCGCCATCTCCTGCTCGAAGGCAAAGGCGTTTGGGGAGAGGTAGCACAGGGCAAGAGAACGCTCGTGGTTAACGCGGAAAGCGCGGACGTTATTGCTACCCTTCTGGTGTTGAAGAAGGAGGTTGAGAAGGAGGTAGGCAAGAAGGTCAAGTTGACGATCAGTGGGGGCGCGGAGGCGCATATTGTTAAGGACGAGTTGGCGACCGCTGGGGTGGGCGTTGTGCTTGTGCCTGTTCGTCCGTTCCCGGCTACTTGGGAGCAGCGCCGCATGTACGTTTTCCTCGCTTTCCTTGTTTAAATGTACTGGACGCTGATGCATGGGGTGATATAGCTTGCCCGGTCCGCCGCTGAGCGAGAAGGGACAGGTCGAGGCGCTCCGCGATGCGGGCGTCAAAGTGGCAATCGGCGCGCTCGAGTCGTGGGACGCGAGGAACGCGCGGTTCGATATCGCCTGGGTACGTTCCCCTCTCGTCTCACTGTTACGCGCGTACTGATGCGTGTCCTTTGTATAGGCCGCGCTCGAATCCGGTGGGCGCATCGGCAGGGTTGAAGCTCTGGCGCTTGCATCGACCGACTTAGAGCTGCTACTCGGCTCGACGGTCCAGGCGCAGGATGAGGGCACGCTGGTCGCTACTGTTGGTGGCGATCTGCTGGATCTGGAGGCGAAGGTCATTGGTGTTGTGGATGGAGCGAGGGGTGTTGTCGATTTGTTCTAAGCTATACCATTAGCCTAGGGACGTGAGGGAAGAAGAGTATGATGGACGGATGTTGCGATATGTACCCATGCATGTGCCATATGCATTGCATTGCTACCTGAGTGTCAAGCCATGTCTGAGTTGAACACTGGACTGAAAAACAGACAAATGGTCTATCGCAAAGTAGAATGATCAGGCGAAGCTAGGCCGGCGTCATGTTGACAGCGTGTCATTCGTTCAGATGGTCATAGATACAACTACACTATCCTCTCTTCGCATCATACAGTCCGTACAACATCGGGAACTTGAAATACAAGCCGGTACACGTTCCATCCGTCCATGCGTAACGTGAAATACAGTCCATGAAGCCGAGTCCGTCGAAACCTAGTCTCTTCTGCGGACGGAAATGACCCAACCACGCCCGTCAGGGTCTTCGCCGGTTTTGAAAGGCGGTGTTCATCCTTACGCCGCTGCCCACGCAGCGATCGCGCCGAATGCGGCGAACAGCACGCCCTGGTTCACAGCGTTCCTTGCAGGAGCTGCGGCAGAAGTGGTACTCGCGGCCGGCGCAGATGCGGAGGGCGAACCGCTGGGGCTGATGAGTGTCGCAGAGCCGGTCGAGCTCGCCGCGGCTGACGTTGCTGACACCGATGCCGAAGACGCGGCGCTAGATGCGACGCTCGACGCCGATGAAGCCGCAGAAGACGATGCGGCAGCCGAGGAAGACGACGCGGCAGAAGATGATGCTGCGGAAGAAGAGGCGGGTGCAGTACTGGAGGCCGCGGAGGTTGAGGGCGTGGATGACGGGTTTGGGACGAGGAGCGTGGAAGAGAACGAGACTGGTAAACCTGTTGAGGCTGTTTGGTTCGTTCTACATCAGAGCGAAGCTTTGAGGGAAGGGTCACGGGATGCACTGACCGGCACCTGCACACAAAGCTTCAAAGAACGCCTCGGCTTGAGGGAGATCGGTGGTCGAGCACAGTGAACCGAGGCATTGCCCTGCAAGATTGAAGAACGTCTGCGCTGAGGTCTGGCAGACGCAAGTCGTGTTCGACCTGCACATCGTAACTGAGCCACCTTCGATCCGCGGTCGACCTTCCATTCACTCACGTCGTGCCACAGCCAGCTTGTTGGGCGACTTGAGGAGCACAATTTGACGCGCAGGCTGGCGTCGTCTGAGCAAACGCCAATGGAACAACGGCCAGAGCAGTCAAGAGCGTCGCAAAGCCACGCATGATGATGGACAGAAAGACAAGGGCGCGGGGAGGCGATGCCGTTCGGCGCCTGGCTTTATGGGCCGGTCGAGGGTTCTGTGCTTCGCATGCGCGTGCTCGACGCAAGCACGGGGCTGTACATACTCCAGGGTTGTATGGACTGCGCTGCGGGAGAAGTACGAAGCGTGGCCAGAAGCAGATGGTCTATGACAGCGTGATACGAATACACTTCGCCACCTATATGACCGTTCTGGTAAAGCAGCCGTGGGAACATCACGTCATCGGCATCTTGCAGCTTCTTCGTTCTGGGCGCGCTGTAGCCGACCAAACCCCATCACGGAGGCTTGCTTCATAGTGTATTTCGCCTTCCCTTGGGGGGCTCCTGTATGATGCCAGCCTTGAAGGCGGCAAGCCAGTACTCATTTCTTGCGAAGACATGGTCATTGTGACATTCGGCTCGCGCGTCGCTACAAACTAGGTGTACTCAGACTATCCTGTGACATACCACCCCTCCGATTGTGCGCTTCCTCAAACAATTGCGTCGCTCTCTCGAGGCAGCTCTCAGCGGCCTCGGGCCGTCCGCATTCGCCATGTACTTTGGCGAGATACATCCATGCTTTCCTTTGGCCGACGAGGTACGAGATGCTAGAAGCGAGGTCGCGTGCGGACTCTAGGGCGCTCATCGCTGCCTCGTATTGGTGTCGTTTGTAGTAGAGCTGCCCGAGCGCATTGAGGCTGCGTACTTCACCCATCCCACCATTAACTTCGCGGTAAAGCTCGAGCGCAGTCCGGAGCACAGATTCCCCTTCATCCCACCGATCCATGTGGAGGTACAACCTTCCCAGTTGTTGTAAGGCATTGGCTTCGCCTAAGCGATAGCCAATTTTGCTGTACAAAGCTAGCGCAGACTTCAACGTGTCCTTTGCTTGATCGAAGTCACCAGTTCCCGTGTACAGAGCGCCGAGCGTCTCGAACGCACTGGCTGTTCCCAGCTCGTCTCCGAGATCGGTAAACAGCTTGAGTGCCGACTGCAGTGCATGCTCTGAGTCGTTTGCTCTTTCGAGAGTTGCGTGCAATCGCCCAAGACTTCGTAGCGTGCGGGCCCGCCCGCGTCTATCATCAGTGTGCGACCAGAGATCGAGAGCGGTGTCCAAGGCCACCAACCCCTCTTCGAGGCGGTAATGATACAGGTACGTGTCCCCTAAGCGCTGCAAGCACTCAGCCTCTCCCACCCTATTGCCGACGGATTGGTATAGCCCTCGGGCGTCCATGAGGATGGGTAAAGCCTGAACTTTGCGGTCGCGAAAGTAAAGACATTCTGCTTTCGCCTGCAGGAGCTTAGCGAGTAAGACTGGTTTGTCGCGCCCTGTATCTCGTATGGCTTCGGATAGCAGGGTCGAATCGTAGTAAGATAGGTCTTGACAGAGCCTCGAAAACGAGTTGATAGCAAGCAATACTCGCTCTGATGGGAGACAGCCGCGAGACATGCATTGACGAAGAACCAGAGTGATGTTTGCCAGTTCAGGCGAGATAGACGCTTGCGCGTATCGCATCTCTTCGGTATAGATATTGGAGCGGTAATCAACGAGATCGCAGTAGATCTTGCCTAATCGAGAGAGCCATTCGTCGGTGATCCGGTGATGCGCCTGCATATAGAGGCGCACAGGAGACAATACCCGAAGAAATTTGTCCTCAGATAGATAGAGAAGAGAGCATTGCTTGAGAAGCGTGATAAAACGACGTATGGACGGTAGTTGGTCCTTGAGTGTTGCGACCAGAGCGGGAACGCGCGATTCGGGCAGTCCTTGTGGAAGCGCGCAGATTATGCTGAGAAGTTGGATTGCCAAAGGTTCGTCTCGTAGACGCGGACCTTGCAAGGAGATCTGGATCGAAACCTCAACATGGGTGAGGCGAGTCTCAGGTCCGCGGAGTTTCAGTAGTTCTATGCGTTCCTCTTCCCATCGCGACCAGAGCGCTTCTGATGACTCGCTCTGCGCTAAATGCGCGAGAAGAGTCACCGCCAGAGGAACGTAGTCGACAGCTTGTACAAGCTGTACCGAGTAATCATCATGCGAGTCGCATATCGCGTCCCATGTCTCTAAAGCTGCTCTCAATGAGAGTGGTGCGATGAACGGCAAATGAGGCCGTGTCCATGCAACGCCTGATGGGCGCTCGGAGCCACGTGTGGTGATGATCAGGGCGAGATTGGCCAATCCTGCGAGCCTGCTGAGAAGATCCTCAACAGCGCGCACGTCGGCATCCCAAGGGGTTTCTAGATTATCTAGACAGAGGATACAATCGTCCAGACCGGCGACATGAGAGACCAGAAGGTCTTGCGGTGCGACACCACTTTTGCGATCCGCTACGAGTCCAAACAAAGTGAGCAGTCCTTGGGTAACGTCGTCGGCCGTAGACACAGCCTCGCATGACATGAATAGACGTCGGTCGTGGAAGATTTCCCTGAGTTGCGGGTTGTTCAAGACGCTCAGTGCGATCGTGGTCTTTCCGATGCCACCGGAGCCAAGGATGGCGACGCGGGCCGGGTGCTTGCTTCGTATAGAATGGATGATATGCGTGACTTCGTCAACACGACCGTAGAAGATAGGGGGTGCGGCAGGGAGGGGTGGAAATGGGCTGACAGCGCAGCATCAGCATCTGCCATGAGCGTATATACAGAGCGGCTTCACACTCACGCTTCGCCGGCAGGTACGGTCGTAAGAGGCTACGAATATGAGCATATGCAGGCTAGAGTGCTATGGACTGAGCTCACAGTACTATTGTTCTTGATCTCCTCTAGTATGGCGGCCATACTATGCATGGTGAGAGTCTGATCAATCTGAAGAGTAGTCTAGCGCAACGCATGAGTGAGTGGATGATTGAATATGAGTAGCGAAGATGCTTACGTTGAACAGGTCGAGAGCCACTTGCATATCGACGCGGCACTGCTTGACTCTGGTGGCCAACTCCCCCCTATCGAGATACTCGCGAGCGCGAGCCTTGATGATTTTAGTCACGCTAGCGGTGCGCTCGCCCGACACACGGATCCGGCAAGTGTATAGAGTTTCGAGTGTTCCGGCCAGGCATCTATTCGTGGATAGAGTCAGACTCGTGAGGGGAGACGCGTGAAGTTAGCTTACTTCTCGAGCGCATCCAAAGGTTCCTTCAGAAATGCAGGCAGGACCGCGTCACCACCCATCGGCGCGCATTGTTCCAGCACTCGGTCAATCACACCCTTGATCTGACGGGCTATGGACATGACTTCGTTCCAGTCAGACCTATACGATTCGACTTCCTGTTCATATGTAAGTACCCGGAAACGACGGATGAGGTCGCTTGACGCACGGCCTGAATCCTTAGAAACTCAGTCAGAACGCTGGAGATAACTCCGAGGTAGGGCACGTTCTGTGTCATGGACGCCGCGACGCTCAGAATTTCGGCCGCAGCCTTGAGGGCGCCCCAAGCATCTCGCTGAAGTGTACTATTGACGTCTATGTAGAATAAGACAACCGTGAGCTTAGCACAACAAAGACCGGATCACAATACTCACGGATCCGTGCCTCGGGAGCCGCGATTTGAGCCCGGACGCCTGAGCCCGTTGCCGACCGATCTGCTGTTGTCGACCGATCTGGGATCGCGACTTGGGACGACCTTCCAGCAGCTTCCGACATATCACGCCCGCTGAGAGTAGGTGAAGGTATCCCGATGAGTCGATGGTCGACCAGAGGGAAGGTGAGGGTGACTCGTTCAGTACATCTTCTGAGCCGTCGAGCGTGGAATCTTCGCGCTCACGGTCTGATGACTTAAGATCTCCCGTCAGGCGCTCTGCGCACGCTAGTCTGTTTGGAAGCCCAGAACACAAGAAGGGGTCCTATCGAAAGCTTCTCTAGCATATCGCTGCTGTGGGATGTACGCGACACAGTGGCGGATGTTGGCGTCGCGATCGTAACAAGCATGGAGCTTATAAGCATCTGGGATGAAGACATATCGTGACTATTGGTACAAGCCCGAGTAGGCCCAAATGTGTGTATCTCAAGCGTGCCATAAGCAAGGGATGACTATCGCCTCAATGCTGAGATGGCAGTCGAGTCCAAGAGCGACGCCGTGCGTCTCAGACCTTGGCGCGTCCGCGGTTTCCGGTCCGAATTCCGGTCTCGAACAGCGCACGATTTGACCTTCGCAGCTGGTTGAGCCCCGACCGTCATCGTCCGAAGATGCACAAAGTGCTCTCAGCTCGCCTACCGGATCTCATCATACTGAACGTCTCAAACCGAGAGCCTAAATCGGTTGTTGGCACACCGCGCGCGCGAAGGTACACCGACCGCTATTCGGCCATGGCGACGTACCTGTGGTTGAACAGGATCGCCTAAACCACTTCAACGACAACCACAGTGGTTGGTCACGCTCCACTGCCGACGCGCCCTATAAATGAGACAGCCTCTCGGACCTCCGCTCGTTGTACACTCCGTCGCCATGTCCCTATTCTGTCTGAGCTTCTCTCCCTCCGCACCATCCAGTGTGCTTGACATCAAGCCGGCAAAGGTCGCTCAACAACTCACGCTCCTAGAGTGGGAGAGGTTCTCCAAGATTGAGGTTTGCTGCTGTCATACCAATTACACATGGGTCTGCGATCACTCATCTTGTGTTTAGCCCAACGATATTCCCCACAACGCGTACAACTTACACGCACGTGAACCTAAAGCGACGGCGTCCGAGATCCATGCAGTTCTCGACATGTCAAATAAGGTGCGATAATATCTCATGCTTGTATTCTGAGCTCATCGAGTACCATGTCAGCTGATATACGACCTACTAGATTAAAGACTGGGTGATTAAATCGGTCCTGGAAGAGAAGGATGCAACCAAGCGCGCACGCCTTATCGAACATTTCATATCCATACTAGATGTATGTGCCATTCTTGATCTTTTATCGTTCGTTGCATCAACTCGAGTACTAATGGCAGTCGTAGGAGTGCCGCAAGCAGTCGAACATAAGCTCTATGTACCATTTATACACGGGCCTCTCTTCATCGCCTATCAAAAGGCTGACGCAGACGTGGGCCCTGGTCCGTCACCAGAAACAATATACGCTTTTTGCGTGCATGGACTGGTTTAGACCGGTTTTGCAGTCTGATAGATATGAAGAGGTGCACCGGGGTCTGAAAGCTCCATGCGTGCCATACCTCGGTGAGGATTATATTTACCTTTCACTCGCACGACCCAACTCTCACTGATCATATGCGGCGGTGATACAGGCTTCTATCTGTCGAACATTGGGTTGCGGCCCCAGAAGACACGATGCTCGGACGACGAGATCGTGCGAGAGATCCGGGCCCTACAAGGCGGTTCTTACAAGTTCGACAACGACGAGCGAATTCGAAACTTCATATGCGGGCGGATGACGGCGCGGGTTCGCTATAGTGAGGACGTGAAGATCTACATGGACAAGAGCTGTAAGCTCGAGTAGCCTGGAGGCGGATAGAGAAGGAATCTGTACGATCTCTTGTCGTGTACTTGCTTCGAAGTATTACGCGCTCTGCATGTGTCTCGACCCACGCAAGGCCGTTTGGTAACAATACATCAGACTTCTTCAATGTTCATCACGGCTCTTCCCGCAATTGTATACGCATAAGTAGAAGGTACGGTGGAGCTCACGATGTGAACCTGTAACTTACTTGCTTCCACCATGTCTACAGTCAATGGTACGTGTCGCCGTCGTAGTCGCGCGAAGCGCTGCCTGATACCCGTTCTCCGCGTAGAACGAAGCATCCTCGACTACGAGCCAGTAGCGCTCGCAGAACAGCTCACGCTCATCGAGTGGGCTCTATTCTCGAAGATCGAGGTCTGTCAGGCTTCTGCTTAGCGACAAGTGCGGTAGAGCTGAACAGCAGTCGACGTATAGCCCAAGGACGTCATCGACGTCGGACGCGACCCCCAGAGTCGTGCAGGGAAGAACGATACTATCTCGGACATGATACAGTCGAGCAACAAGGTTCGCGGCTCTCAATTTGCCCTCGGATAGATGCGCCGAACGCTAAAACAAAAAGACAGATCGCGCACTGGGTGGTCGGCGCGGTCCTTGAGCACGAGAGCGTCGAGAAGCGCGCAAGCGTCCTAGAGCGCTTCATCAGCATCACAGAAGTACGCACCGCCTCCGGTTCTTCACACAGCGGCCAACCTGACCCGCATTCTGCGATCTAGAGCTGCCGCACATCGTCAAACCTGAGCACCATGGTCGCGCTCGTCTCGGGCCTCAATTCTCCACCCGTGGATAGGCTGAAGAAGACGTGGGCGCTTGTTGGACAGGAGAGCAAGGACGCGCTGGGTCGGTGCAGGACTATGATTGATCCTCTCACTTTCGGGAAGTATCAGGAGGTGCTGCGCGGCGTGGAGCCACCGTGTGTACCGTTCATCGGTGCGTTCTGTATACGCCTGTCCACTGTGGGATCGACGAGTCTGACCGTCCATTTACTCGCTTTCTAGGCGCCTACTTGATGCTCGTCAGACAGCCGCCCTCGGAGACGCGCCCTTCCGACGAGGAGATCGTACAGGAGGTACGAAAGTGGCAGGGTACCCCGTATAAGGTCGAAGGCGACGAGGAAGTCGAGAAGTTCTTGCGTGGGCAGCTGGAGAAGTACGACGGCCAGTCGGGGCGGGGTGATAACGATTACTCGGACGTGAGCCGCAGGCTGGAGCAGGAGTAGACGAGGATATGTTCATTAGCCAATTTAAATGTATATTAGTTACCTGTACTGTTCGTTTACGCTGATGACTGGCTGGGAATGTCGGGCACCGATTCAAGGCTTGCGATGCGTGCGAACCGAACACCTACTACCCTATGAGAGGCCTTGATGGTCTCCCGCTCTTGCGCTCTGCGGTCAGCATGACACAAGAGGGTGCACTCGAAGTGCATCGGGTTTACGAGAGGCGACTCGCAATGAGGCTACCATCGTCGACGTAGTTGAAAGCAGACATATATTATGCATGCATGCTCGAGACCGTCCTTGCATTAGCGTAGCGTATCCGTATCTCACAAACAGTCGCTCTCCCCATTCATGTCCACCCAGCCGACCCAGCCTCCACCTAATCGCGCTTCACAGGCGCGGCGCCACCAGTGAGTACACCTGGAAGCTCGTCGGATCCCATACCGACGAGAAGACCGACGGCAGCGGAGAAGAATGCCAACAGACCGATGGTCGTGCCGGCCAGAAGTACGAATTGCCTGGTAAACATCGTTGTCAGCTTTCCAGTAGAATAAGATATAAGGGAAGCCAAACTCACGAGCTGACATCCTCCCTCTCGCAAGCGTTGCCAGCCCAATGCGTCGTCCTCCCTCCCTCATCCCGACTCGCCGAGCACTGGCACACGTAACACGTCTTGCCGGCCCTCGAACCCGCGGCACAGCTTCCGTGACCCGAGCAGCCGCCAGTCGCGGAAACGCAAGCGTCGTCAGTCGCATAGCAGATTGCGTCGCTGACGATCTGCGGGAACGCTGCGACCGACGGAGAGGTCTCTGCCCGTTTGCCGAACTTCGACTCGGCCGAGGGAGGAGCGAATGAGGGTGCGGACAAAACAACGAGCTTGAGGTCCTTGCGCGCCATAGCGCTCTCGATGGTAGCACGTGCCGTCTGGACTGCCATATCGCGCATCTCGCCGGTCAACTTCGACAGACCCTTCAACTCGAATACTCCAAACTTGTCGGAGCCATCTTCTTCGAGGAATGCGACGAGTGGTGCGAGGGTGGACAGGAATTCTTCTGCGTCGAAGTGTGCGGCAAAGGCATCGACGGATGCCGGGAATGCCGTTGTGTATGATGGTTCGGAGGAGGTGAGGGTGCTGTATATGTGTGATGCACGTGCTGTTAGAGATTTGAGGAGGTTTGAAGGGTCGAAGTGCGTGTAGCGGAGGGTGAGCGCCGCAGGCAATGTCGTCGGAATTACATCTACGAATTCCAGTACTAGTCAGTGATAATACTAGTGTATCAGGAATATACAACTGACCTTTGATGTACTTCTCCTCAACAGTAACAACTACTCCAGCACTCTCGCCCTCTCCAACAAATCCACCATCAAAGTTGACCTGTCCGTTCGCGGGTGCAGGCTCGAACCGGTCAAGTCCGAGATGATGCGCGAGCAGCGCGCTGGCGCCTAGCAATTGCGCGCGGTGCGCTGGTGGTGCGGGATGCAAGTATACGGAAGATGCCGAAGCAAGTGGGATGGCGGCGAGCAGTGTTGGTAGGAGCCTCATGATGGTCGCTGACGACGAGCGCGCTACACGCGCCGAGGACGCGGAGGCGCGGTTCAGATTGTTCACACGCTCTTTGGCTCTTACCATCATTATGATTACCAGTACCATGCCACGCTCACTGTTGGCAGCGAACTCTTCCACTCAATGTCATCACTAGGATTTGACTCTTTCTACAAGATCGATATAAATTGGAAGTATAATGTACAGCGCGGCCACGATTACCACCAGCCATCCATAAAGCTGTCTAGCGACGTGTGAGATTGTGAACGCCTAAGGGCACCCGTTTCTGGGTCGCTATGGGATAATACGCTCTCCTTTGGCACAGCGCGCAATCGTAGTGTGAAGACGATGTCGAGATCCCTCTCAGTCGCCTTTGTTTTCCCTGCGTGCTGCGCTCGTTGGAAGTACACAAGAGCACTCTTCAAATCGGCTTCGGCGTCGTCAAATCGGTTCATGTCTCTGGACAGTAATCCCAGCTGTCTGTGTGCGTTCCCTTGTCCGACTGTGTATGACACCGATGTGGACAGCGCGAATGCTGATCGAAGACATCCTCTAGCTTCGTCCCATCGACCTAGTTGTCGGTACACATTGCCGAGCCGGTTCAATGTCTTGGCTTCACCACGGCGGCTGCCTGTGGAACGGTTGAGCGTGAGTGCACGTTCCAGGCATTCCTCTGCGTCATGGAGCTGGTCACAGCGCTGATACACGGTTCCCAGGATCTCCAATCCCAAAGCCTCTCCCATATGATCCCCCGACTCGCGGTAAATGTGCAAAGCGGCTTTGAGCGTGCTCTTAGCATCATCCGGTCGAGAGGTGTTATGGTATAGGCTCCCAAGACTCAGCAAGGCGACTGCTTCGCCTCGAGCATCGCCTATTGCGCGGTATTCTCTAAGTGCGTCCGGTAGTAAACGCTCCGCGTCCTCAAATTGACCACACCTGATGCAGAGCTCCCCCAGAGTCTGGACGCTGTTAGCGAGGTTGAGACTGTCATGCAGTTCAGAGAACGTTTTGATCGCAATATCAAGCATGGTGCGCGCCTCCACTAGGCGTCCGAGGTGCAGATATAAGCGACCAAGCCTCTGTCGAGCGCTCGCAGCCCCATGAGGGTTATCTAACAGGTCGTACAGGCGGATCGCGGAGTATAGAGCCTCTCCCGTGTCCTCAAGACGGTCTAATTGCTGGTAGACGTCGCTCATCGCGTTCAAGCAGTCCGCTTCTTCTCGCGGATCATGCACAGCCCGAAACAGGTCGATCGCGGTCGAGAACGACGAAAGGGCATCATTCGGCGCGAACAGGTCGTGATGAGAGTTGCCCTTCAACGCCCATAGCTTGGCTGCGATCCCTGGTAGGGAATAGTTGGCAATGCTTGCAATCGCTTGATCAAGCAGCGGTATGTTGTAGTACAGCACTGTACTTCCGAGATGAAGAAAGTTGAGGACTGCTTCGAGAACCTCGGCGGGAGGTAGACGATCGCACAAATCGCTGATGCGGGATAGACACAGGGAAAAGACGTCGGAGATGTTGCCAAGTTCGGCCTGGAGGTTTTCCACGGTGTATGTTTTGTCGCTTTGGTAATCAGTGCAGGGAGGTCTGATCCTTTGGCGATAGTATCTGAATAAGCAGATGAGAAGATGGTCGGGGATTGGGAAGAGAGTCCGGACGTGATGTCGTACTGGGGAAAGGACACGGATGAATTTGTCTTCAGATACGTATATGAGTGAGCATTGCTTGAGGAGAGTAATCGAGCGACGTATATCTGAGAGTTCCCCGGCCAAGCAACTTGCGAAAGTCGATATGTCGGAGTCCGGGATACCTTGCGGAAGCGTGCACAAAACGCCGAGGAATGACCGAGCGACACCGGCATCTTGCAAGCGCGGGCTGTTCAGAGACAGTTGTATCGAAACATCGATACTCGTCAGCCGGTGGCTAAGTCCCCGCGTTTGTAGAAGCTCCGTCTGCTCGTGCTTCCAGCGTTCCAAGAGCGATCCGGCAGTCTCGCTTTCCGCTAGATGTGCTAGGAGTGTGACGGCGAGCGGCACGCAATCCACAGCGCGAACGAGCTGGACGGAGAGTTCGTCATGCGAACCACAGATCTCGTCCCAAGTGGCCAAGGCGGCGCTCAACGTGAGGGGTTCGAGGGGAGGGAGAAGAGGTTTCGTCCATGATATGTGCAGGGGGCGATCGGTGCCCCGCGCCGTGACGAGCAGAGTGAAGTGCGGTAAGGATGCGAGTCTGGACAGGAGGTCCTCCGTTGCTTGCACGTCCGCGTCCCAGGGAACCTCAAGGTTGTCCAAACGAAGCAACGTCTTCGAGAAGTCCTGTAAGCACGAAAAAAGGAAGTCTCGTGGCGCAAGGCCGCGCTGCGAATCATAGACTAGACCAAACGTGTTCAAAAGTTCGAGAGCCACATTCTCGGCCGATGATGCTGCTTCGCAGGACAGAAAATAGCGTCGATATGTTCTCTCGATGTCCGGGTGGTGTAGTATAGCTAACGCCAGAGACGTCTGTCCCATACCCTCTGGACCAAGTATAGCCACTCGAGCGGGGGAGTTGGTTTCCGAGATAAGCTGCAGGATCCACTCGACCTCACACTCCCGACCGTGTAGAATCGCGGGGACAGTGGGGAGGATTTCCGTCGGGGAGGGGACCACCTTCGATTCAGAGGCTGTATCGCGAACCTAGACGCGTGAGAATGTAAGCCTGAGTCTATGCACGCGGATCTTCAAAGGGCGTACCCGCGATATGCCATGCACTTGTGAGGGTGCTGGAACCATCGCATGCAGTCGTATCGACTGGTCTATCTGTAGCTGTGTCTGAAGTACGGAGGGGAGATATCAGGCCAGGTTGAGCACGAAGGCGATCTGGGATTCAAGACACGAACGTTGAAAAGACGGAGTGCTGCTTGCATGTCCCTCCGACACTGCTGAACCTCGCTCAAGAGCGACTTGCGATTGATGTGCTCTTGTATACGGACCTTGAACCTCTTCAAGCGACTCGTGGTAGATTGATTGCCGGCTGCCTCTATCTGGCACGCGTTGAGAGCCTCCACGGTCTGGACGAGGCATCTGCTGGACATTCATCATCACAAATCGGTGCATTTGTTTGCAACGACGTACTTCTCAAGTTCGTCGAATGGCTGCACCAAATCATCGGGGATCACGGCCGTGTCGCTCGCCGAGGACCACCGCTGCGTGAGGCTCTGAACGACTGCGTGAATCTGGCGCGCACTGGTCATGGTCATCCTCCATTCTTGCTTGTACGTGTTGAGTTCCTGACATGGTCTGAGCGACGAGTATCTTGGGTACGATGGGAATGACGCACGTCCTCCATCTTGATGATCTCGTTGAGAACCCCTGACACCATGCCTAGGTATGGTACGTTTTGAGTCATAGATGCTGCAGCTCCGAGCATCTCTATAGCCGTCCTTACGAATCCTCGAGCGTCTCTCTTGATGTCTTCTCTGATACCTGCGCCCGGGGTAAGACAATGAGGTTCGACATGAAGGCACGCGGCAGAAATCTTGAGCGAAGAGGGTAAGAACGCACGGAATCGCGCAGAGCGAACGGAGGTGCTGGCGACAGGCTTTTCCTGTAGCGTTGTCATGATGGGATTACGAACGGGGGACGCTAGAAGTTCGAGTAGGGATCCGGCACCGATGGATGGTGAAGGATAAGGACGATGGTGAGGCGGCAGCTGTGACTACGTATGTAGTAGCTTTTAGAAGCACACGTTGCACCGCATAGGGATGAAGCATCTTTCTATCATTCGCATAAGGTTCGACGCATTGACCAGCGTGCACGAAGAAGGACAGTTCAGCGCCCTGGCAGGTCATATGAGTTTCGGGGCCATGCGATGTGCGCAGAGCGCATCCTTCCTGAGAGTGTGGTGGAGTTGATTCACCGATACGAGGGAGCGGAGGAAGGGGAAACGGCAAACGAGTACTTCTCTGAGGATTGGCGCATCATGCTTGGGTGCAATCAGGTTTGTGAAGGTAAGTAGTACAGTATGTCAAGCAACGATCATGATAGTCGCGAAACAACCTGCGGTCCGGTCCCCGGGGCGCCGATAAATGACTTCTCTCAAGCGACCACCGCCCTACGCGCCGACCACAACCGTGTGCTCTACACCATGCTGTCCGTCTTAAGAACATGCGTGGCTGGATATCTGGTGGAAGACGCTCAAGGATGACCTCTCCCTGCAATTTATCAGGCCTACTCTAGTCCCATCAATTGACGAGCGCCAATGCCATGCGCCGAAGCTCCCTGCCGTCGAATGTTCTGCGACGCGAGCCTGTGCCATATAAACACGGCCTTCGGCGGCGTGGCCTCACCGCCTTTTCCAAACTCTCAGCGCAACGATGGTACAACTCTCACCGACCTTTGCGGTGGTGGCACTCGCAGTCAGCTCAGGTGCGTATACAGGCTGGTCTGAGTATTCGCAGGCGCCCTCTGACACCTGCGTAGTGGTTTCCGCACAGTCCGATCCATTGGCGCCCTCTTTCACGACCACTCTTGACATACCAACGCCCCCACCAGCCTCTTCGACATCTACAGGACCCGTAGCATCGTTTAGCACGACGCTCGCGCTTCCTTCGCCGACGTTCACCTCTTCGTCTGCCGGATCATCGGCATCAACGTCGGCATCGAGTTCCGCTACCGGATCGTCCTCAAGCGTATCAACCTCCACGAGCGCAGACTCATCCGCAAGCGCCAGCGCGTCATCTTCGAGCACTTTGACCTCCCCGGCGTCGAGCGGCTCGGCGACGGTAGTTGCGCCAAGTTCGTCCGCTTCCGCGCCGGGCTCGACCACGTCGTCTGCCGCGGGGTCTGTGGAACCAGGTGGAGCGACTGAGGCACTTGCGAGTGCTTTGGTCGGCGTACTTGGCCTGTGGCTGTGGGCCTAAAGTATGCCGTTCACGCGACGACACGCATTGCGCGGCTGGGACTGGACCAACACGGGTGCAAAAGTGCCGCTGAGTGGCGGGAGGCACGGACAGTGGAACAGTCAATGGTCTTCGCCCTCTCATGACTTCCTTACGACGGCCGTTCATTCGTGACGGACTATGCTCTGTGCTTGTTTTGTACTATATCATCGTACTTTCTATTCAATCAAGTGTTTGTGCTACTCCGGAGCGGCCAGGAGACCCCCCAACTCGACATGTAGGTACAGACAGAAGGCGCATAATATTCCGAAACACGTATCGAGGCACCTTATCCGATTGGACCAAGGCCTTGGGCAGCTCGCATCCGTTCCGTCGCTCTACGAACGATCCTGGACAAGCCGATCAGGTGAGTGAGGAATGGGCAAGCCTATGAGGACGTACTCATAGAGTGCCCAGCGCTCACGCAAGAACTCCATCGGATCTGCAACGGAGTCAACGGTTCTGAGATCATACTCGACGTCGACCACAGGGATATTCAGATGACCAGGGTGAGTCAGGAAGTCTGCGAAGGCCTGGCAAAGATCTGATATCTCGTCAGAGTCAGTCGATTCACCACCTGTGGTCATTGTGAGGGCCATGTAGTGCACAGCGATGAGAGGTCGAACTCACTGGGCTCCCACCCTGGGCAGTCTCGTTCCATGGTGGCCGGAGGACGTATCGGAAACTCGTGCCAAAGAATCTTCAAGGACGTTCGAGGAGGGAGACATTGTTCGATCTCAGACCAGCGAGTATCATCTGCATAGAGGCTCTCCATAAGATCCTCCTGTGACCATCTCACACGCATACGCTCGGATGATGGAGTGGCCAGGACCTGTGTGCAGTCTCTCTCGATGCTTGCCACGCGCAGATCTATATCTCCGAGGACAGTATCAAGTACGCAGGTTGGATGAGGGAAGTCAGCGACAGCGCGAAGTTGATCTTGTTGGTTCGGCATGGTATGTGGCGCGATGGGAATAGCAAGGTCAGCAGGCGCCGCAGACACGCCTGAATGCCGGGATTGGTCGCGAACGAGTTTGAAGCTAAATTGATTGGTTGGTTTTTCTATCAGAGGCAAGCCTTGCTGTGCCAGGAGTCAGACTCGCCACCGTGTTCATACATCTCGAGACATACCACGCTGGAGACAAATGCGATGTATCGTCCGACGCGCAGTTCAGACGCCTCTTTCCTGGCAAGATCGTCGAGATGGGCGACAGAAAGCATTGGGTTCAAGCTGAGGACGACGAAGTCACCCATGAACGGCATCGTAGTCGAGGATGGTCGGTTCGGTCGCATCGGGTAGCGAAAGGAAGGCCTATCGAGGAACCCCCCGGCATATCGCGGAGTTACAGGTTGATGGGACTCTGGCTGCATGTGAGGATAATAGAGTGATAGTAAGAGGGCGTACTCGAGGGATGAGGGGAGCGGAACGTGCGGTTGTAGACTCTATATAGGGCCTGTGAACAAAAGCGCGGCCATCTCCGTTTCCGCTCGAGAACTCGGACCACGTTGCTCGAAACCACGACGTGCTGCGTATTGACCGTCCTACGAGGTCTCACAAATACAGTACTACCGCTATGACAATGTTACATCTCTTATTCTCTTTCTTTCGTTGCCCACGCGGCCTGTCAGCATGATGTAGGCTCTTCTCTCGCGGTGGTACATCGCGGCGTTGCGTTGTCGGGATGGGGGGACCCACACGGCCTCTATTATGAGGAAGACGCCCTTCACTTCCTTGAACGTTGACGTCTGGAGACGCTCGTCTCAACACGGGAAACTGAAGTGGAGGTATGCTAAGCAACTCCGAGCACAGAACCGTCTGCAAACGGTGGTGCGCAATTCGAGCGGAGGACGTGGATCGGCATCGACTGCCACGCGTCCGCCTACGCACGTATTGACGATGTGAAGCGCATGGTGATAGCATCACCTACCATCATCTTGTTCGAACATCATCGCAGAGGTCTGAACATGCGACGACGTGCGCTAGGACGCAGGTAGTCCAATAAGTTTGCCTTACTACTAGATGAGTCGTAGCCTCGCTCAATCATGATGACGATAGGAGTCAACTATTCTATGTCATGCATGCTTACTATACAGATGAATACCTATTGACGATATGCGGACTCTCCAGATGCGACAGCAGCAGCACGGAGGGCGGCGGCGAGGGTGAACCTCACGCGCATGTGTCCTATTCACCCGACCGCCTCAACGATCGCCATCGACTCCTTGAAGATTGCTGTACCTTTCGCACTAGCGCCAGCATCGCCGAGGACGTCTTGTGCAAAACTATCGTAGGTGAAGCCCGTGTTAGCGAATCGAAGCACTAAGAATGGTGGCTCATACCGGATAGGCTGGTTTGCACAACGCGCTCGAGATCGTCCATGATCCCATGATCCCAGGGTGTCGAGTATGAAGGGTAACGCGGTTGTATACCTGCTTTCGTCATTCTCACTCGCGCGTCTCGCATGATTCTGAGAGGATATGATTAGCTGCCCAGATATCAAAGAGGAAAGGTCGTACTCTAGGAGCTTCTCTTCTTCTCTCCGTAGATCTTTTGGGTCTTCCACCCCGTCGACGAGGTCCAGATCATAATGAACATTGACAACGGGGAGGTCAGGATCCCCCGCGTAATCTACAAGCGCAGACGTGAGGGCAGCCATGACGCGGACGTCGTCGACTGGTTGCGCATTGCTCGTGGCTGGGTTGGCATGGGAGGGAGCTGCGCATAATGAGGTTAGAAGACAATCCGAAGGCGAGGTGCCCGGACGTACTCGGTTGTGCGGACATGCTTTCGACACGTTCGGCGTCTGGTAGGCTCTCCTTTTCGCGTTGAGAAGCCTGCTGGGCGAGCCTAAGCTCGTAAATGCGTCGCCCGTGCTCTTGACGTATGGAAAGCATCCTGCCCATCTCCTGAGGTAGAAGGGGAAGCACTAGGGTCCGGTCTCTCTGAGCGGAAGTAACGCGGGCCTCAAGAGTCCCCGTAGCAGTATCAATCACGCAATTCGGAAAGGGGAACGGCGCGAAGGCGTTCAGTGGCGCCTCGTCATTCGCAGCAGGAGCAGTATACGGGGCAATGGGGATAGAGAACTCAGAGCTAGCCGGACTGGAGGATATTTCCGACCGTGCGATGTCCGGCGTCTGGCGCACGAGCGAGAAGAAACAGTCATTGGTTGGTTTGTAGTTTGAGGGCAAGCCGGCACCCTGTGTTCCATCATCATGTGAGATATAAGGTCAAGGATCAGGCTGAGATTTCGACGTACATATGCGAAGGGTATAGCAACATAACGCTTCGGGACCAACTGCGCTGCGAGGAGTTTGGCGCGACGGTCTAGATGTGCCACCGACTGCTTAGGATCGAACGAGAGTACGACGAAGTCTCCCGGAGATGGTAAACCTGTCGTGGGGAACCTGGGAGGATATGCATCACTGGGATAGCGATATGGCGTGCTCTTTGCAGAGGAAGCGAACCTCGGCTTCCTCATAGCGCTGGCTACGACGCTGGGATGAGATCCGGAGACGGGGGTATAGAGGATTTCAGCCACGGACCACGACTGATCCCCCTTATATACCCAGTTCAACAACGAAGGAACGTGCTTTGAATATCCTGCACCACCGTGGTCCTTATGTGCGGGCGCGAACAAAAGCCTAAGGTTTGGGCTCAGACAACCACACAGGTTGCCATGACCCAGTTATGGTCCGAGCGGCGCTATTCAACCGAAGGCGCCACGATAGAGCGCGACGTCTCGAGGCAAACTTGATCACTTTCTGGCGTGTACTGGCCGCCCCCAATGTGAACCGGGTGACGCATCGGGGCGGGAGGGGTTCGTCCTAGATGTACGCGTACAGTCGGCACCTGGTCATACGGCCCAGCCGAGGATTCTGGTGCATGGGGCACAAGCTGCAGATACCACACCAGCTGCGGCTGGGTCTGAGGGACGCGGCGCCGTGTGTAGAATGGATTGTGCAAGGTCGAACATGGCCGTATGCGGTCAAGAAGCGAGGGAAGCGGCCCGCACGTTGCGACAGTGCAGCGTCAGAGAGTTGTTCAGAACTTGCCCCACACAAGCATCATGCATAGTACACTCGCCTGCCGTTGGCCGCTCACTCCATTCTACTCGGCTTCAGCTGCCTATCGAATATGGACGATCGCAGAACCTATTGCTGTTAACAACATTCGAGTAGCGCCAACGCCATGCGCCCCGGCGTCATGCTGCCGAGCTCACGCCATATAAAGACAGCGTTGGTCGGCGTGGCCTCCCCGCGTTTGCCCTACTTCGAACTTGATGATGTTCAAGCCCTCAACGCTGTATGTGACGGTGGCACTGGCAGGCTCCGGTGCGTACACTACGCTCTTCTCACAAGTATGATACCTGACGTCTGCGCAGTGGCTTTCGCCCAGTCTGACCCACTGGAACCTTCTTTCACGACCACTCTTGACATCCCAACACCATCACCAGCCTCGTCAACGTCGACGGGACCTGTGCCATCGTTCAGCACGACGCTTGCGCTTCCCTCGCCGACGTCTACCTCTCTATCTGCCGGATCATCGGCATCAACGTCGGCATCAGGTTCCGCCACCGGATCGTCCTCGAGCGTGTCAACCTCCACGAGCGCAGACTCATCCGCAAGTGCCAGCGCGTCATCTTTGAGCACTTCTACTTCTCCGGCGTCGAGCGGTTCGGCGACGGTGATCACACCAAGCTCGTCCACTTCCGCGCCGGCTTCGACCACGTCGTCTGGCGCAGGATCTATGAGGCCAGGCGGAGCGACTGAGGCACTCACGAGTGCTCTTGTCGGCGTACTTGGCCTGTGGCTGTGGGCCTGAAGTGTGCCGCTTGCGCCTGGATCACAGCGGGAGAGTACTGGATCTCGCTGAGGGCGCGTGGTGTGACGGCACGGACAGAACAGTGAACCAGATGTGGATTCTCCCCCTCAATAACGCTCTTGTAACGGCGGGCTATCCATGACGCATGACGGACTATGCTTTGTGCTTATTTTGTACTATCTCATCACGACTTCCATTCAATTACATGCTCGTGACATCCCGGATTGGCCAGAAGACCTCCCAGATATGACATACAGGTACAGGAAGATGGTCTATACTATTCCCCCAAGCAGACGACAGTACCACAACTGACCCTTGACTGAATATTGGCCGCTGCTGGTAGTAATGGGGCATGGAATGGCGTCGACGGCAGCACGGGGGTCGGCGGCGAAGATGAACGTTGCCCGCATGTGCCCTATTTGCCCACCCGCCTCAACGATCGCCATTGACTCCCCGAAGATCGTTGCACCTTTCGTACCGGCGCCAGCATCATGGAGGACAGCTTACGCAAAGCTGAACGCGCGCATTAGCGAAGCCGGGCCCTGGAAGTATAATGGAATATACCGAGCAGGCTGTGTTGCATAACGCGCTCGAGATCATCCATGATCCCATCATCCCAGGGTGTCGAGTATGAAGGGTAGCGCGGTTGGATACCCGCCTGCGCCATCCTCGCCCGTGCGTCTCGCATGATTCTGAGAGGCTATGAGTAGCTGTATAAGCATCGAACAAGTGAAAGACGTACTCTAGGAGCTTCTCTTCTTCTCTTCGTAGATCTTGGGGGTCTTCCACGGCGTCGACGAGGTCGAGATCGTAATGAACATTGACAACGGGGAGGTCAGGATCCCCTGCGTAATCTACAAGCGCGGACGTGAGGGCAGCCACGACTCTGGCGTCGTCGACTGGTAGCGCATTGCTCGTGTCCGGGATGGCATGGGAGGGAGCTGCGCACAACGAGGTTAGAAGACAATTTGAAGGCTAGGTGCCCGAACGTACTCAGTTGTGCGGACATGCTTTCGACACGTTCGGCATCTGGTAGGCTCTCCTTGGCGCGTTGAAGAGCCTGGTGGCCGCGCTGAAGCTCGTAAAGCCGTAGCACGTGGTCGCGCCGTATGGTAAGCAACCGGTCCATGTCTTCAGGAAGAAGGGGTAGCACTGGAGTTCGGTCTCTCTGGGTGGAGGTGACGCGTGCCTTGAGAGTCCCCGAAGCAGTATCAATCTCGCAATTCGAAAAGGGAAAGGGCGCGACGGCCGATAGTGGCGTATGGGCATTCACAGCAGGAGCGGTATATGGTGCGATGGGGATGGAGAACTTGGAACTGGTTGGGCTTGAGGATCCATCCGGCCGGGCGCTGCTCGTTTGCCGCACAAGCGAGAAGTAATAATCGTTCGTTGGTTTGTAGTTCGAGTGTAAGCCGGCGCCCTGATTCCGTCATCATAAGAGATAAGAAGCTGGTATAAGACAGAGATGCCTACGTACATAGTCGAATGGTATGGCGACATATCGTTTCGAAGTCAATCGGGCTGCGAGGCGTCTAGCTTGATCGTCCAGATGAGCCACAGATCGTTGGGGATCAAAGGAGAGCACGACGAAGTCTCCCGGAGACGGCAAGCCCGTCGTCGAGAATTTCCTTGTATTCGCAGCGCCGGGATAGCGATATGGCGCGCTCCTTGCAGAGGAAGTGGACTTTGAGTTCCCCGTGGTGCTGGCGA